AAATCGAAATTGTCCACTAAATATAGACCTACACCTCCACCTGTCCTATCTTTACGTGGATTGTGCACAAAATTATAACCTGATCCGATGAATCTCGAAGCCAGGTCTCAGTTATATTAATAAAAGAGAACCTCAACTCTCAATTACGGTGAAGGCTACGAATATTAAAATGTAAACGCAATAAACAATTATTGGCTTCTAATGTATTTTTCTAGCGCAACATCTCATTTAAGTATACTTCGGTATAAAATTGGCAGTCAACTTACTTGAGAAGAAGTTAGCATCAGGATCATGATCGCTACAAAGGATAAATTTTTTATAGGTTTCACGTAATAAAGGATTAAAACTGATACTAGCTAACCAATCGGGATGATCGTAACGTGTGCTCATGACACTCTTTATAAGAAGATATCCTATAAGAACATAGAGGCGAAATTTGCGAAATTTGAAGAATATGACATGAATAAACCAAAGGCTCAGATTTTAAGAAGGATATAATTTTGTGTGTTGAAAATCTGTAAATACAATTTTATGTTTTCAACTCGACCGTATAAAATTATCCCTTACTCTAAAAGACAAAACTAGTCACCAAAACTAGGAAACCTGCATCGGTTGCAATTTATATCCCAGTACATTCTAAAACGGAAAAATTTACAACCTATAATTTGAGAATAAAACAAGGATATTTTCAGGCTAAAATCGTCAGTGAAATAAGAATATTCATCCTGGGCAGGAAAAGCAAAATCAGCAAAGAAGGCTGAAATCAGTTGCGAATGGATATAGGTATCCAGGGGCTAGCCACCTGGTCATCAAGTATCTTGGACGTCCAACTTTTCATGAGACGAAACAAACTCTAATTTAGGTCTACCTAAGTTAAGATAAGATCGTCTGTGAGTCAGAAGTGGAACCTAGGACTCGTCGAACCAATCAACTGAATAAGATCAGTGATAAATTTTCTCTAAAACGAGACTAAATGTACATTATGATAAAAGTTTTAGTTTATTAGTTTAGTTCGTCACATGCATGAGGTTTGGCCCGAAGACGATCTTCAGACGTTCTATCCGTCTGATGCAGACAAATAGTAAGTGTTGGACGATCCAAACTAAATCAGACGAACTTAACTGAGCCAGACGTCGAACTTTTTATGACTTAACTAAGTTTGGTTCGTCTCATAAAAAGTTTGACGTTTGACTTAGGCCGAAGTGTGTAAAAATCGCGTCTCCAGCTAGTCCGCTGGATTTAGATCAGAGTAAAGGGGCTTAGGAGAAAAGCGAGGGCCCTGGGGTCTAGAGAAGACGCGAGAACATCTACGGTATTGAATAGTAGTGTTGTTCGACCAAAGTTTGACTCTTAATGAGGGAATAGTGAAGGTTTAATAACAATACGTTGTATGATATTTTTAAAGCATCTTCTGTTAATAGCACCTGGGACTTCTCAACTCTATAAACAAGCCTACTACAAAGCCAATCATAGCGGAGCTCCCGCGCGCGCAGCGGAGCACCATGGGTAAGAAAATTTGGTAAACTATCCATCCCAGAAAATTTGGTTATGACGTAGCGTACGCCCGTCCGTACACAAACTTCATGTAAGCCGATGTCAAATGTCACAATAGATCTTGCACAACTTGACTAGCCTCAGCTCTTAGTTATGTAAGCCATCCGTATGAGTACGATTAGATTGACAGCTGTCAAAATCAGACATCCGCTGACAATTATCACATGACCGTCTCGCGGGCTCAGATAAAAGACCGGTCGTTTTGCCCCTATATATAACCTGATATAATATGTCACACTTACCAATTCAACATAAAAACGAAACTACGCCGGGCAAGGCTGTCAGTTAGCTGACAGTCGTTTAAAGTTACATTGGCAGGCCAAATTAAGGTCAATTGACAGCTGTCAAAATGGGACATGTTCAGACCGCTATCAGAAAACTAATAACGAGGGCTCAGGTTCGCTCAGGTACACGATCTGGCATTTTCCACTACATGCCGGACGGAAATGTCCTACTCACACTCGCAGTCTATTCGTCATTCTAATGAAGGTTAATTGACAGCTGTCAAACTAGAGTATACGCTGACCATCATCACCTAAGTGGATCGCGGGCTCATTTTTCTATCTATTGAGGTCACGTAGTGTTTAAAGTTTTGCGCTGATATTTTATTTGATCACGGGCTCAATTCGAAGCCCCATAGCTTTATAGAAAATCTATCCATCCTAGAAAATTCGGCAATCACGTGACCGTACACCGACCACCCGACCTTCCGTCCGTCCGCACCACAGGCATACCAATGTTTAATCTCACACTTTCTAGCTAGTTTGGGAGCCTGCAACCTGATATTGTACATCCATGTTTTGATTAATTGACAGCTGTCAAAACAGTGTTTCTGCTGACCAGTATCGCCTGACCGTATCGCAGGCTCAGGTATCGACCCTCTGAGTTCGAGTAATATTTTGAAGGTATTCGCTGACAAGTTGCTACTTTTCTAATGATCGCAGGCTCAAATTCAATTTTTTTTAAAATGCATATGAAATAAGTCGTGTTTCATGAGCCGCCTTGTTAAAATGTTGATTTCGAACTGATCTCGGACACGAAAATTCAACCGGCTTTTACGTTTACATGCAGGGAGTTCAATCGCTTTTGACTTTTCTCACTGTTACGCATTGATCACGTTCTACGTCCAATTTTTATGTTCTGATTGGTCAAAATTTGACAGGTGAGTTTATGCGGAAAAGTTTTGCAGCGTCTGGAAACTTGCTTACTGATAGCTGGAGCTGAGAGAGTTTTGTGTCATCTTGTGATGTTTTAAACTGTCTTTTTCTACTTGGTGTACAAAATGAAATACAGCTGCTATCAAGATTGTTCTGTAATTCGTGGCTGGTTTGTTTATTGCGCTTCTTGTTGACAAATGCACCGCTTGTCAAAGTCATTGGAAATCCGATTTCGGATGGCATCGTTTTCAAAAATGAGCTTACTCACTTGCCCTTGCTTGAGGCGTAAGAAGGTTGAAAAGTCTCCAGCGATTCTGGAACACTTGATGACCTTCGGAAGCAGCATCTCGACTGGTAAGCTTGAGCCATTATTGTTTTTGAAGTTTTTTTTTTTTCGGTTTCCTGAAGTCGAGCGTATGGTTTATGCGGCTTAAGTTAAAACACCGACAATAGTATCAGGTTTAAAAAGCCTTTAGACATTTTCTGACCCGCAAATTCAAAGAAAAGGTTCCGAAGATTATTTAGTTATGATTTTGGCTGTAAACAGAAAGCTCTGAGCGATTTTCTTGCCTCGAGTTCATCTTGAAAAAGAGCGAACACCGGGAAGCCGGCTTAAAACATAAATAACCTTATGCTTGCCTGACTCATGATTTTCTGAGACACTTTACTCTCAATACTTCTCTTCGTGAATGAAAATTATTGTCTCTGTACATGTTTCACCGAATTAAACTTATTTTATTGATTGTTAGTAGTCCTTCTCGCAATTTTCATCGCTGCACCGGTTGTTTCCGGTCGAACATAAACATCGCATGTAGGAATACTCAAAACGCCGCGCGTAAATATCACTCGCTTTTAAAGATTACACATAACAAAATCATACACAGTTTAATGAATAAAGGGAAATAAAACCTAAACATAACAATTTCTCCATCATGTTGAAGCGTAAATGGTAACTCTATTAATCGCACTGCAAATTTGGTGCCTGTCAAAAGTGAGAACCCGTCCGGCTGGCCGAAAAGTGATTTTGGGAATTTTTTTTCTCGTTTTCATTAAAAGCCCATAATTACGTCCCGCATATCACATAGGACCAGATTTTTCTAACAGAAAGCGTTTTATAATTCAATGCTACAATTTTGTTGTGCAAAGGAAGCACGTACTTTGATCGTCGTGGATATTGAATGAGTGCAAATTCTCTTGCAAAATCGTGAAAAACTGCAGAATTATAGGTTTAAATAGGGCAAAAAAGAACAAATTCTGTCCGAGGTCTGTGTACTGTTTACCTGAGACGTGATGAGAAAAAGTATGTTTAAAAGGCTGGTTTACACGCCACCAGATTCGTCGCCAAGATTTACTAGTAAACTAAACTTGTCGAACACGAAAAATCCGGCCTGATTTTTATTTTGGCCTCTCTTTTAGACAGATGAATGCAACGTGTAAATTGGCTGCCACCAAGGACTATCGTGGCGCATTTGTTTCTTAAAATTATATTTCGGGGTTGTCCAATTATCCATAGTCTCTCTAACGGAGCAATGTTGGAGAGACTGGTGAATGCCACATTATGATGCTACAGCTAATGCAAATACAATACACGAATAGGTCTATTTGTTTTCCAGACCTAATCTTCTGTGATCGAATATGATTGCTATTTTTCGGTGTACAAATAACTTGATGTAAAATTTGTTTCACTCTTGGACGGTCAAATTCTGATTTTTCTCCAAAATCACTCAGCCTTTGCCTCAAAAGTCAAATGAATGTGCCCTGATCTGTGGATTACAAGTTTATTGTTTGATTTAAATTATGAATTTATTAACGGGAGCTTCGCTTTTAGCCCTGGCTAAATCTATATATTATGAAATTACTGGCTCAAAACCATTTGGCTGTTCTTTTGTTTCTGCGATTGTTTTTGTCTTTCATACTTACTGACTATGAAAGAAGTAAAAATATTTTAAAAGCCGTCTCTTTCAGCAACACCTTGGCGATATATAGTGCTTATTCAGTGTTAACAACGATACGCTTGGAAAATGTGTTAGGGATTTGTACGTTTTCACCTGACCTGCCATACTGATCAGCTGACCTGAAATGCATTGTTTGAAGCAGTTAAATTTAGTTCAGCAACCACGCTCCATATGAAAGCAGTGCATTGCAGCCACCACTAAAATCGCCAAGCTATTAAGACCTTGACGCTGAAATTTGTTACTTGTTCAGAAAAAGACAACTGTAGCTTCACAGAAAGGGACCATCTACGGCTTTTTTCGAAACCTAAAAGCAGGAATAAAGGCACTTTAAGAACTACACTTGAACTACAGTTTGAGAACCATCCCTGGAACGGACACATTTCATGTACCCATCAACATCGGTGTCATCCTCATTGTTTTCTGTTATAAAGTCCTCACTTGTTTCAGAAATGGGTGTTATATTGCTGTATAAATCTTTTTCTTGGCCAGACATAGGAATCATGGAGGGGAAATCAGACCTGCTCTCTGACAAACTGCCATTTGAAGGCCGCCTTACTCTAGGAACAAGAGTTGGTGGATCATCTCTTCCTGAGTTAAAAACCAGTGGCCTTGTATTGGTGAAGCCCGCGACTTGCACTGGACTGTCTTCAGAAAGACTTCGGAACCGACGCGTGTTTTGCACGGTGGTATCACACTGGGATGGCCTTCTTGTGCTGGGAACAGGGGGTGGCTTGCTAGTGTCAGTTAAACTTCTCAGTCGAGGATGGTGATGAAATGGTTGCTGGTTGGCGGGCATATCAACAGCATTCTGACGTTGCAACTGACTCGTGGCAGTCTGTCCTCCTTCTTGTGGTTCTATATCTTCGTAAGCATGGTTAGAATTAGACAAAGGCAGGACATCAGGGACACGAGAAATTCTTGGACTGGATTCAATCGGCTGCATGACTATACTGTTGTCGTTCTCTACAGGTGGATCCGCGGGGTGCCCATAGCGTCTTGTAAGCTTTTCAATTAAGAATAATAGAAATGAAAGTGTCAAATGAAAATTATCTGTAACTGTTCTCTAAAGGTACAAAAGTCTACCCTCCACTCCTGAAATTTTTACGTACATTTGCGATCATCTCCAAGTCACTCAGCCTTTTAAATTATAATTTTTCCGGAAAAAAACTAATTAAAAACAATTTATAAATTAAACATGTAGTATAATGTTGATTGCTATCACGTTTGCCCACCTAAATGATACTGGTTCACACGCGTGCGAGTATTGAGAAAATCTCCTCCTCGTAGTCGTCCTCTTCTTAGAATTTAAAGGTATCTAACATCAACCCTTTAATGGAATAATAATCTGCCTTACCAAAATTAATAAGACGATCACCAGCGCTAGAATAGGAACGGCACATCCTAGGGCAATTCCAGCAATAGCCGCAGCTGATAACCCTCCCTTGTTCTTCGTACTAGTCACTACAGTGTTTTTGACGCATTTATCATTATCAACTGAAAAAGAAAATAAGCGAATGCATCAGACTTGCTTCTTCCACGTTGAACGAAAAAAAAAGTCAACTTCAAACTTCTCACTAGTCTCGCTTTTTATTGGGTACACTAAAGTGATACTTTGCACTATACACTCAAAAAGCCAGAAGGGCGGAACTAATGTACCCAACAAAAGAAGACAGGCATGTGAGATTCATCTCCAAATTTGGTTAATGTCTAGATTTATAGATTTATTTAAGATCTTTTTAGTAAAGATCTAATTAAATAAGGATATGAAAGGTCTATTAAGCAAATGCTCTTACGTTCATAAGTTGCAAACTCCATCCCTCTGAAGCAGCGTTCAGAGCTTGCGCAGTAAGGTTTTTTCAGTTGTCTGCCGCTCTTGTCCTTCTGGCACCAATAACAACTAACTATCCCATCACACCAATGGGAACTGTTTCTCTTCTCACAATGGGGATCAAAGCATTTGTTAAGACAAATCGTTTTGGAATTTAGAGGATTATTGCTGGGTTGTCCTGAAGGTGCAAATGTTGGGCATAAAGGAAGGCTATGAAACAAAGTAAAAGAAAGAAATTTGTAAATAGTTTCTTACAAACGGCAATGATTAACCTGTAGATACGACAACTTATATCTTCCCTAGTATGGGATATTCTTGCTTTGTTCCGACATAAATCATTCTCTGCTTAACCTTAATTCTTTGAGTTTGCTGCATTTTGATAGCTTCTTCTGTTTCTTTCCAAGTGAAATTTCCATCGTATATTGCACCTAGTTATAGGCAATTTGCCTAAAACGTTTGTAAGAAATTGCCTCCAGTAGTCATCTATAAGAGCAGATAACGTAAGGTAAATAATTTTTTTAAACCCTACTGTTAAGGTTGGTGGTAATGTATTATTATGAAACTATATTTTATTGTTTCGACTAAGGGTTCATATCGTACAAATCTGTTAGTTTCGTCTACAAGCAGTGATCTGGCACTATGCTTCTAAATGGTTATGATAATGATGATTATGATGACGATGAAGTTAATGATGATGATGAGGATGATGATCATCGTCATAATAATGATGATGATGACCGGGTGTAGTGAAGTATATATTTTTGTACTGCAACCGCGCCGCAAGTAAAATAAAGCTAACATTTACGGTTTTCATTTCCGTCTGAATCGCCCTTTTACATGAATAGACCATTCAGGAAACACACATTTTCTTCACGCCTTTCGATAATTGGTGAATTTTGTTCCATGTTATTAAAACGCGCAGTTAGCTGCCATCTGGCTAACCGGTGTTCATCCTCACTTGACATAAAAGGACTTTGGGTTCTGTTGACTAACCTGCTGTTTGGAAACTGACTTCGACAATAAAAAAATTCCAGAGTGGAGGTACAGGGACATTCACATTTCAAACCAGCCAATCTGGAGCATTCGTTATCTAAAGAACACGAGCAGGACGATGAAGCACAGAGGGAATCTCGCGCGACAACACCTGCAGAGGAGAGAAGGAAGCCAATGTTGACGCTACTTAACTACAGATAAAGGAAGCTATATCACGATTTTGTCGGTCACTTAAAAGCCCCAAAAAGCACCACGAAATCAAAGAAAACTTATTAGATAATCGTTCAATGTTTTTAAACACTCTGCCACTGATACTTTAACCATGTAAATGCATATCTATATCTTTCAATGGGCAAAATGGAAAGGTATCTTTGTTTTGATAGAGAAAAAATTCATCTATGAGAAAAAAATGACTAAAAATAATTAAAGGTATAATTTCAACTCAGCTTTGACAAAAAATGTGGATCTCAGCAAGAATGACACAACCCTATCAATGCCCGTTGAAACATTTAGCATGTAGTACATGTTGTTATTGGATCCGTTTGAATAGGCCAAAAAATTTTAAATCATCCAAACCTAATCCACTGGTATACTTCTACAAGGTTTTTAAAGGGATCTATATAACTTGCATCCAGCACTGTTTTGTTAGAAGATGGACCAACAAAATGAATCCGTGTAAAACGAGTCTGGGCGTATCCACACACTCAACCATCTTTCTTTTAAAATTTGCCTAAGTATCCCTAACTTTGAGTTCGAGGAGGTAAGTCAATTTACGAATGAGACAATGAGGTGCATATTTAGCATGTATATCTTACATAAAAATACGGATCGAGCTTCGCACGAGTTGAATCGCGTGGGTGAAATCACCCCCTTCTCCCCTTTTCTGGTACAATTAGGTGCTATTCATTCCCATAGCGAGCAAATTAAATGAAATTTGCCCCTAAGTATTGTGCATTACTAAGATCATATCATTTGTCTGACCTAAGTAGACGTTCGTTCCAGGTATTTGACTAAGCTCATATTTGCAGCCCTGGCTTGATTGTAATGTACTGAATCCCTCCGGAGGCAAATTAATTTCATAAAAGCTCTGTTCTCTTATACTTTCCACATTTCGACACGTTCTTTTTATCAAATAGCCATGGTTAATTAAATCAATTGCAATGTTCTTTTCCTTTAGGGTGATATGAACGTGCTCCACTTCGTTAGCTTCAGTTGAGGGTAACATGAAATCCGGGTGCATTACGAGGAATCCAGAGTTGTCCATAATGAAACATGAGTACTGCTGGGATTCTGCACACTTGTCATAAACCTTTGTAAGTAACCTGAAAGATGTAATTGAAATGCATTTAATAAGCGGTAGGCGTAATGGCTTTTAAAGGTCAAATGAACCAAAATTTCGACCTTTTTTATTTTAGTTCAATTCTAGTGGAATGTGTTTAATATGAACCAAATAAACATACTATGAAGTTTCAGCTCAATTCAAGCAAGTATCTCCGAGATATTCGCAATTAAAAATTACTGTTTTTGGGCCCTTATCTTCGTAGAGCCGTCGAAAAAATTGTCGGAAAAAACAGCTTGTGACGTCAATGTTGGTCAGATGAAAAAAGCGGGAAATTCGAAACAGAGTTTTTCGAGTCGACTTGGCGCAGAAGTGGTTTGTGCGGCCATTAACCTGGAAAGAAAAGGCAATTTGTCTTCAAAAGTTGCAAGCTGTGGTTATAACCTTCTTATTATTTAATTTTCTCGAAGAATACATCATAGTAAAACGTACTTTAACGACATTTACCTTGAGTTGTACTGGAAATGTGCGTGCGTAAGTCCGATTTTTTTCAAGATGCATTCACAAAATGTGTTCATATATATCAGGAAGTTCCTGGATATATAAGGTCCGGAGCTCCGCCGTGGACACAAAAACAAAATATCTTTGTATAATAATCTGCCCAAAGAAATTCAAGTTTGCCCACAGTGTGTTTGAAGTCACTGAACTTTGTCGCACTCGAGCTGATATTTTAAAACCCACGCTCGATCGGACATTTCTAGCTTCGCAGATCACTAAAATATAAACAAAATGCTCATTGTAGAAGTTTGGGCGTTGATATGTGGGCAGAAAAGAGTTAATCTTTATCTAGTAAATCTTCCCCAAGATCGTTCTCAAAGCAACCATAGTTTTTTAAACTTGATCGTTTCGCACAGATTAATTTTGCTTTGTGTTGTCAAGTTGAAGATGCATAACACCTGTTAAATACCTACGCGTAAGTAAGATTTCCTTCAAACAAAGTTAAAGTTACATTATTGCAAAAACTTCTTTCCAATTATGTGCAAGATTTAATTACCGATTGACGTCACTTTAAGGACCACAGAAGCCACTCTAAGCTGGCAAAGAGATGCCACAAGCAAAGAACAATTCCATCATGCATAAAATTCAGCTTAAGTGAACTAAAAAAAGCTTCAATAAGGTTGCAAAACAACAAATTTTCATTAAAAAAACATAAGGCTTAAGGCTCTTATACCTGCTGACAAAGAAGAAGTGAATTTTCTGTACGGAAACAACCTACCTAAAGATCTTAAAAGCAAAAGATCAGTTGCAAGCTTCGCAGCCAAGCCATGATTCCGACTACTTAGCTAGATTAGCTACTTTTTTTAGTAATAACTGGTCCATGCGAGGGTCTTCATTCAAGCAAATTAAACTCAGCAAACTGAATCATTAGAAAATACAGAAAACTGCACATAAGGATTTGTTTTGCTCGCTTCAGTCAAATCCAGCTCCAGCAATTGTTTACGGGCAAAGAGTCGATTGTTTTGGAGTCACTGCCGGCAGTTGTCGTTCTCCGCTGCTTCACAGCGAGTGAAAGGAAAATTTGCGTACAGAAAGATAACCAAACTATGTAATTAAAACTGAAAAAACTAAAGGAAAAAAACTCTGACTATTATTACTTGAGCAACAGAAAAATGATCGAAGTAGTCTTTTCATCTCAAGTAAGCTTGCTGGCCTTCTAAAGTTCCGAGGAAGTTTTTTAAAGCGCTCAAGTTTGTTTACTCGCAAGCGTTAGCATTACGGCTTTTCGACTGAAGACAAGGATAAAGCTGGTTCTGCAAAGGTAAATAAATCTGGGCATGTAAAAAAACTAACCGTAACTACTAATGACAGAATACAAGCGGGTTTTAATTCAGTCCGGCGAAAGAAGGCGAAGAACTGGACACAAAATCAATTCACAAATCGAATGTACGATTATCAGGAAAATACAAACCTCTTTGGAAATGTTCAAAACGTTTTATTCCTCCTCAGACTGACGGGTGATCTGTTTTTACTCTACATTGGTTGTTCTGAATCCAAAGTAATTTTTAAGTGACGAAAAAACAACAGCAACAAAAACAAAAAAAAAAGCCTTTACAAGGAGCAAACATTCGCACCTCGTAAATTTCATTCAGTCTCAGTCAGAACTCTCACAGAACGAGACAAACAAACGCAGGCAATAAGGGATGCATAGAAGCTTGCGCAGAACGTTTTTCCGCCCTGAAAGACCAACATTGACGTCACGTAGTCTCAAGTCTATCCCGCGGCCATTTCAGAAACGTTTTCGTGAAGTTTTCGGAAATGCTCGGATTTTGATCTTTTATCTTTCTATAAAGGCTTGGGAAGAAAAATCTTTACCCAAATCTCACTTAGGATGGTTCTATTTAGTGTTTGGTGAAGGTAAAGCGACAAAAGAAATATGTCAATTTTTTGGTTTATTTGACCTTTAAGCCATAATGCGCCTACTGCTACCATTAAAATAGTTTATTCTTTGCAATTCAGAAGCAGATAAGAGGTCTGGGTTCGAGCCCTGCAGGGTAATTGCGTAGTCTTCTTAAAAATAATTTACTCTTACAGTGTATCACTTCAACCATTTGTATAAGTGACTTAACCTGTGATTTTAACACTTCTTTTGGACATGTTCACTCAATGTAAGAAATTTTCCACTATTTTCTCTTCCTCTGTCAAAAAAGCTGAGCTACCGCTCCCTTCGCGATCCCTTCTTGTGTCGATATTAATACAAACGACGTCAATTGTACTGACTTTGGCAAAAATGTTTCAAATGTTGTCGACGCTTCCTGTTTACGAAAAATCTGCCTGGGTATCTAAGCTTCATTATACGGAAGAGGAGAACAAATTTGAATGAATAATGAAGATCTTAATTTCTTATCATTATGTGAACAAAGATCAACATTGTGCGATCTTAAAATCACCGAGCCGTAACGTAATTATGCAAGTTCTATTTTCTGCCGCTGTCACTGTCCTAGCTCCAGTTCAATGACTCTTGGCGCGCAAATCATGCATGCATATCAATGACGACGAAGGCCAACTGGATCAACCAAAAAAACCGGATAATTCAGTACCCATCAACACTATTCCACTGACATGAAAATTGTAGTACATATCAAAGTTTGTACCCAATAACTAGCCCCATGAAAATATTTTTTTCAAGTATTCCACACTTATATGTAACAGTACCTGTAAAAGTGTCTCAAAGGAAAATCAGCTCCCATTACTCCAAGAACATTATCATTCGACTCTCCGCGATACAAAGAACGAGCAGCGGTAATAACCTCCCCAGCTCCTCCCATATCCAGATACGGAGTTGTTAGAGTAAGGTAGCCTGAGTGACTGACTGCAGCGTAATACCTGGGAAAGAAGATTGATATATAGCCATCATAATGGATATAAGTGTCTCGCAAATCCTCTCTACCACTTATACGTTAAGAAATCTGGTTGGGTCACTAGCCACGAATATCCTGTCTTGAGGACTCCTACTACAGTTGAACCTCCGATCCATTCAGCCGCCACCCTCGGATACCGGCAAGTGGCCGCTTAATAAAGGCTGCCTGCTCAATACGCCACTTCCACATTTCCCATAATGCACCTTATTTGCCCCTAAAATTTTGCATAAACTTTTGTGTTTCATTTCTCCTTGGTATTACAGCCGTCCCATGAGAAATTAAAAACAATGCTTATGCAAAAGTTTGGGTGGCAAATAAGGTGCATTATGGGAAATGTGAAAGTGGCGAAGTTCTTCTTAAAGTAGCATTATCTCTAGAAGAAATATGTCTTTACTTTGAAAGAAACACGTGACGGGAGTGGCACTGCTAGTCCACAACCAGTCGCCACCTTCTATTTAGGGCTGTATTTTTCTTCATCGTACGTGTTAATTGTACAACAGAGCCAAATTACATTAAGTGTATCAGGCGCTTGATGCCGCTTAATAGAGGTAACAACAATAGGAGAGTTCTCGTGGGGATGGCTAAAAGCTGGCTGTGGCCGCTTGGTAGAGGCTATCGCTTAATAGAGGTTTCATTTACGATTCTTTTCCATTACTGGCCGCTTAATAGTAGGTCTTCGCCAGACTCGTACCCAGTCGCTATTTAATTGTTTTTTGGGGATGAGAGAAGATTGGGGATTAGGTTGAGGCGCGCGGGGTGTCATGGGAAGGGAAGAAGGAAAAATAGCGACTGGCAGATTTCGTTCCAATATGGCGGCTCGGGAAGAAAGCTCATTGTCACGCGATGTAAATAATGCCTTAAATGAAGGGAAATTAGCTTGCCAACACCGCAGTTGTACTGTAAATGATATCTTTATAGCAACGTCAGAGTACCTGGCCGCAATTTTCGTGTCAAGTTTAGCGATAATTATCTTGTATAAAACTGACGGTATTTTCAATAATATGGTTTGGTCGCCCGGGTTTCCCTTTGGATGCAGCACGCGCTTATTCAAACAAGCTTCATGCCGAGGAAGCAAGGGCCATCCTGGAATACATTTATCACCACAGTGTCGTGAAGGTAGAAATTCAAGTAATAATGCCGTCTTATATTGATCTGGTTGATCCTACAATTCTCTAAAACTTGTCTGTTAATTAAGGTTATTATGAATCATTTTTATTTCCTGTTAAATATAAGTATGACCGATCGTTTGTGGAAATGACTTCCATTAACCAGCCATTAATTAAATTTACAAATCAAAATTATAGCGGAGACACTGACGAAAGCTGCAAAACTTATATTAAGCTTGTGTTAGTTTCTATTTTTTTGTAGTTCAACATAGACACAGTATTCCAAAAAGTCATCTTGAGTTCAGTAAATGATGACATTTCAAGAGGCATCAAACTCATATTTTTACTAGGCTAGGCTGAATAGTAGAAGAAAGGGAAAGGGTTTGGCCTTTTTTTAATAGAAACTTGTCATGACAAGTTTAATGACCAATGGATAACAGAACAGTAGTTTATAAACAACTGACAAACCTAAGGAACAGGAGTAAAATTATTCAATTTTTGTTTTGCCTTCTGGGAAAAGTGGAACAGGGGGTAAAGGTGACCCTATTAAACTTAAATTTCTAACTATATGTAAAATACATGAAACTACTTCATCTATTATCCATTGTTAAACATTGGGCTTTGCGGCAATGGCATCAGGACATTATAAATGCAGCCATTTCCTCACCATTGGTTACTCTTCATGTTTGTATAGTACATGTCCATGATCAAAGCCTCTCATTTATTATTCCTTACATCTCTTGCTTGGTTTTAAATTACTCGGAACTGGTTTTGGGCTTGCAGTTTTTAATTACTTTTCAAATTTCAATATTAATTATTGTACATATTTTCCACTTGTTGAAGTATTTATGACTTTATTAGCTGTTTAATTATTGTGAACTTTAGGTAACCCTTCAGTGAGAGACATAGCTACTGTTTAAGGTTTTCCTGTCACTACTTGTAGTCTTTTGTATAATTTGGCCAAAATATTAAAGTAAAAGTACCTAAATAATTAAAATCATTGTTCTTTTTCATGATCTTTTTTGGTCTTGCATGTTCCTATTTCCCTATAAATGGCCATTTAGAAGAATTTTTAGGGAGTGTTCAAGGTTAATTCTTGCTAACCTAGTTTTAGATTAAAGGGGTCGGGTGTTTTGCTGATTATTATTAGTCTAATATTTTTCAATAAAATGAAAATTTTCATGTTGACTAAATTATTTTGTAGCTTGACTTGGTCATCCAAGTGGTCTTACCTGTAGCTGGGCAGCCACCCGCTTGGGTGACATTTTTTTAATATTTCTTCTGTCTCTTTCTTGAGAGTCATTTAATTGGATATTAACTGCCCCCCCCGCCCACTTCCTGATAAATTCAGCTTGCTCTCTCTTCAATCTTTATAGCAATCAAATCACCCCTCACTTCCAATGTTTTTTCTTGCCATCACTGAGAATATGGAGGACCACAACCAGTTTTTTTGTAATTTTTTTTAATGACCATTAATGTAGTTTATTACTCATTCAAAATATTTCCCCGATTCTGATTAGCCAAAAGCACATGCATAATTCACCACAACCAGCTACTGATGACCAAATTTGGAAGAATTTTGTGTTTAATGAACCAATGATGTCAAAAGTGCAGCATTCTCGCAGGTTAAGACACCGTTACCGAGAGGACCTGAGGACGAGGTTGAGTTGTTTTGGTTGTGAAAACAAAAATAGCAGAACATTCTGCAGAACATTTTACTCGTTTCACGACGATTTATTGTCTAAAAACATAGCAAGAAGACAACTCGATGGACAAAATTTGCTATTTGGAGTATATTTGCAGACCTGAACAGCCCTTTCTCTTCTAAACAGCCCTTATCGAGGTGAACTTGACATTGAAGAAGGTAAACATGTTTTAGCTTGTTTTTAAACTAGGAATTATTTTGAATGAATAATAAATCAATTAATGAATTCGGCTTTCGTAGGATATGAAGAATTAGGCAGCCTACTCATTAATTACTCTTACTCATTAATTGCTAAAAATAATGATGAGCTCATCCATAAAAACCAATAAGCATCCCATGCTGACAAAATTTGAAAGTCTTGTTTCATCAGGGCCGGGTTGCTCGAAGCTTGGTTAAGATAACCCAGGGTTAGTGCGAACTTTGAACTCAGATATTAGAGCTTAAAATTCAAATTCAGTTTAATTCTTTTTGCCTACAATTTGATGATTGAATACTCTAAAAAGAATAGAGAAAATTATCCGAGAGAGTGCTTTTGATAACAAGAAAAAGAAAGCCGGGTTAAAATTTAACCCCGGGTTAGTGCTAACCGGCGTTCGAACAACTGAGCCCAGGAGCTCAAAAGGTAACCAAGGAAATAGAGGGTAGGCAAACTGGAAGATGTTAAAATTATTAAACAGAATGGTAGGTTCTCTTCACAATTTTTTTTTAGAAAGTACAAAGGGGCATTACCAAAAGATGATTACAAAAGCTTTAACTTAGGAAACAATTCACAACACTACCAAGACTTAAATCTTCTGTGAATTAAAGGAAAGAGATAACTAAGGAATTAAAAAACATTAACAGGTAGGCCTACTGTGTGCCATTTTTTTTTTTTTTTGTCTTCTGAGTTATTAAAAAGAGGACATTTAGGTCAATTTTCAACAGACCTTAGTGAGAATGGTTTACCTTAAAGTCTATTTTTAGGAAACAGTTATGAACCAGTGGAGGAGATAAAGGGAACTGATAACAGCTCTTGACGGTCATAAACTTTGTTTCAATTTATTTCAATAGTTGAAGATGCTTAATTATAACACATCGAGGGAGCTTAAGAGTAACTATTTTTTTCCCGTTAGCAGAAAAGATGAAAGTGCTGGCACATTTCCACTCTTAAGGAATAGCAGACAGTTAATAGTATAAATTTCCTAATGCAAAAATATTCCTTTTCTTAACAGTATTCTTAAAAACATTCGACAGCTTATATTATGCAGTGCAATAGTAATGCATTGGTGGGTAAATAATGAGATGGTTAAATGTAAATATTTTTTAACAGCTTGATGGACTGAACACATGCTGTTATTAAAATTATACTGACTCTTTACAGAATCGTTGACGGCGTTCTGATCTTGAATATCAAGCGTCTTTCTTCTAACGCTTTTTTCTTGGCTGAGGTGCAGCTTACGACGAGGGAGTCAATTCGTGTTTACCACGTTTCATAAATGTTTCCTTGTCGTCTGAAAAAATAGAAACCCTCCTTGTTGTTGTTGTTTTTTTTGGTTTCACTGGCGCACAAAAACAAATCGGTTAAGCTATAGAAGAAGCGCAAACATAAGAAGTCAAACGTATGTAGAATCTCTGTAAAAGAGAGAAAACGAGAAAAAATATAGAGAAAAGAATTACCAACCTTCAATCCACAGTTCACTATAAAAAGAACCATCGAGATCGCAAATGCTTTGGCCGGGAATTCGTTAGCTTCCCGCGCACAAGCCATGCCGGCGAAACAACTAAGACGCCAGAAAAGGCATAAAAATACTTTTTGCTAACTTTTTTATTGTTAATAATAAATAAATAGACGTCACAAAGGATATTGAGAAAAAAAATACCAGAAAAGTGCCGTTATCTTTAAAAAAACGACCTGCACGTCTCTAGCGAACGAAATCTGCCAGTCGCTATTTTCCTTCTTCCTTCCTTCCCATGACACCCCGCGCGCGCCTCAACCTAATCCCCAATCTTCTCTCATCCCCAAAAAACAATTAAATAGCGACTGGGTACGAGTCTCGGTCTTCGCTTCACAGGTGACCCCCTAGCGGACGTTCAACGGTGTTCCTTTTTCTTTGTTACGTTGTGTTCTTTTTTCGTTGTTTCAATGACCTATTTTATACTTAGATGCTGCCGGCACATCGGTAACCGAATGTTAAAAAAAAGTGCGGTATTCAACTCGGGCTATAGACTGCTGGTAGATGTACAGAGCTGAAACCAGTCTTTCACCCATTTTATTCTCAGGCTATAAGGACAAATGTGAGTTGGTTCAGATTTACCGTGCTAAATAAGCCAATCTATCGACAGTGTACATTATACACTTATGAGTAAACGCATCTCATATCAAACACATACTTACCATGGCCTATGCCTGTGGTCGTAGCTTTTTTGCTCCACGGCACCTGGAGTCGCTCTAAAAACTCCATTGGCTGTTCCAATGTATCGCCAAACCAAGTATTGAGTAAGCTCAGTTTTATCACGTAGCCACAGTTTTTCCGCCTTCCAGGTAGCGATGACGGTGTCACGGATGCCTGGTCTCAACTTTTGATAGTCACTCGTAGTAGTTTTTCCCATCATAAAATCGTGCAGTTTTCTCACGTCAGCTGTGGTTTCGTTCATGCCAATGTAACTGTAAGGGTCCAAAAATGCCAATGGGGCAAATTTAACAACGGTTTTACCTGCGTGAACAAAATGAACGTAAAAACAAAAACAAATGCAAATCGACACTGCAGGCTAATTGCTTTCACTGCACAGACTTCTTGAACTTTTTGACTTCATTCCAGTGGTCGATAAGAGCACAGAACATAAAAATTGTCGATGTGTTTCTTTAAATTGGCAGGTTTTAACGTCCATTTCCGTTGAAGTGTCTCTGAAAATCTCGCACGCAAGAAAGAAATTAATTATTACATAGTCAACCTCTTTAATACGGACACCAAAGGGACAGAACCAAGTGTCCGCTTTACAGAGGTGTCCGTATTATAGAGGTAGGGAATGTATGATTTTTGGCATTTCTGGGACCAAACAAACTATCTGTCTCATACAAGTGTCCATAAGAAGAGGTTAGACTGTATAATTATGATGTTAATTTAATCATTTCAATGAAAAAATTTTGAATTTTGTCAATTCTAAAAGGATTATTTAATAGGCCATTGCCGAGTTCCCCCGGGCCTCTGTTTCAAAACGAGGGTAGCTAGGTGCTCAGCTCTTGATATTTAAATCATTTTTCATTCTCATGCAAATAAAACTCATTTTCACAAGAAAGGTTGCGCACCTAGCCTCATTTTGAAAGTGAGGGTTTTTGGAACTCGGAAGTGGCCTATTGAAATGGAAAAGTTACAGTTTTGGATATAGAAAATAGAAATACATTGTAAGGAGTTTCTTTTTTATTGTGAAAATATTTAATATACATATGTACATATTATATGAAAATGGAGAGAGAATTATTTTAATAAAAACTTTAATACCAAAAATGCACCTAAATATGACTCTTCTTGATTTGTGTGTATCAGCGAAAATGGGTCATTGTGGATGCAAAAAACGGTCCAGGGTTGTCTATGGCGTTCCGTTGCGGACAAAATTATACTGATAGTAAAAACATATTGAAAACATAATACTTAAGTCGAAACTTGTAAAATACATCGAATGCAATAAAAAATATGAGTCGAGATTTGCAAAATATATGTTCACGAACGAAAAAAAAACACGAGTCGAAATTTTGAAATTTGAGTCGAAAAAAATGCGAGTCGAGTTGAAAAAAAAAATACTCGATTCGAGAAAGAGAGAACGCTGACCAGTTGTGTTGTCAATCGATGTCTTCACTTCACCGATACGAGGCTTCGATCCAAAGTAGTGGTTTGTTGGCTACCAAATATTGTAGATTTTTTCTTCTCTCTTGGTAGACTTATCGAGGACTTGGAAAGGCTGCTTAGTTCAGCTTCATTAAAATGACAGTTCAGAATTCTTATTTCGGCGCCTTGACAAGCACAAAAGGACACTTGCAACTCTGCCGTCAAGATATTGTGAGACTTACGGTTGTTTAGAAATAGGGAAGTTCACCCTTTCTACGTTAAATCGGACTGGAACCCACCGGTTCAACCATTAGAAGCCCTCGAGAGAGGTTAAATCTCAACTGACAGAGATACAAACAACAAAGCCAAAACATAACCTGTCACGCAAAGACCGACAAGCGTTAAAAAGAATTAAAGCAAAACACTGACGTGCGGCATCGACATCAAGCGGACAAGGGAATCACTACAGTAGACACGAACAAAACTGACAAAATAAGAGAAGGTCAAATACAAATCGACGACGAACATAACTACAAACCTGTCGTTGAACCAATGTTGAAAGAAACGCACAGCAATGTCAAGCGCATAATTAATTATGGATCTACACCGTGAAAAACATAACGATGAAATGACGAGAAAATGGCAAATGTCAAACACCCAATCAACCTAGAATACCTGAGTTCTACACTCTAACAAAAATTTACAAACCAACCATAACAGTAAGTCCAATAATCTTCGGGTGTGATTGTCCAACAGAAAGGGGGTAACAGTCCTGACATCTATACCGTAGTGAGACCGTGTGTTAACAAAAGAGGAAATTCCCTTGATTCCTTTGTCCGCTTGGGCACGGTAACTCGAATTCTGAAGTTAAGGAAAAACAGTTCGAGTAAGCGGAGGTTCGAGTTATTGCTTCAGTGTATACTGTCTGACACTGCGATTTCAGTTGACCAATTTCATCAGAAACGGTAACATGATTATGCCTTTTTATCAAAAAAAGTGATCTGTTCGTTGCAACAATTAATATTAAATTGCTGTAGTGTTGGTTTTAGTGTTTTTTACCGACTCTACAACAAGAGGAAGCTAAGAGGAACTAATGAAATGACATCCGAGTGGAATTACAAGAACCTGAATTCCGCGCGAAACGGCCCCAGCGACGAAGAGCGAGGAGAAACGGATGTTTTCGTATGGTATCGGTTAAGTGAAGACATCGATAGACAACACAACTGGTCAGCGTTCTCTCTTTCTCGACTCGAATTTTTTTTCCAACTCGACTCGCGCTTTATTTTTCGACTCAAATTTCAAAATTTCAACTCGTGTTTTTTGTTTCGTTCGTGAACATATATTTTGCAAATCTCGACTCATATTTTTTATTGAATTCGATGTATTTTACAAGTTTCGACTTACGTATTATGTTTTCAACATGTTTTTACTATCGGTATAATTTTGTCCGCAACGGAACGCCATAGTTGTCGCACAAACGTCCACTTTTTTATATATCGGATAGAATGAACATATGATTCGAAACTGGATGGTTAAGTAAAGTTAACACATTTAGGAAATCCAGTGAATAATCCACCGAAAGTGGAATCTGGGGAAACATGAAGGCTGCAGAAAGTAAACCGATCAAACTGAGTTTCCGCATTCATTGTTCCGGGAACTCAACGGATAATTGAGTATCCTCTGAATTTACGAGCTGCGGAAACATGACGGCAGTTAGCGTTTCCGCAAGAGTAAACCTGACGGAAACGCGAGTATAAGGGATGCGTTTAAGCGTGTCCGCAGAAACTGAAACATGACGGATACACGTGTTTCCCGCAACGGTTAGTTACAATTCCGTCTGCGGATAATCAAGTTTCCGTGAGGTAACCGTTACAAAAACGGAAACGGAAACACCTTTTTCAACCTGTGATATAGTATGAGGTTTGATTTAAGCTTGCAGAAGTTTAAAAAGTCTTTAGTCGATATTTTCTCACCGCAAATAGAAAGAAAAAACGTTGCGTTTTTATTTTGGCTGTAGAAAGAAAGCTTTGAGCAATTTTCTCGCCTCGAGTTAATCTTTGAAAACAGCAAACACCGGGAAGGAGGCTTTAAAACATAAACTTAGGCTTTAAGCATAAAGACTCAGGATTCTTAGAGACACTTTATTAATACTTAATTGTCTTCGTGAATGAAAATTGTTGTCTCTGTAAATGTTTCACCGGATTATATTTCTTTTATTGATTGTTAGTAGTCTCTCTTGCAATTTGGCGTTAATGTTTTCAGTCGTTCATGAACATTACCTTGCAGGAGTACTCAAAACGTCGCGCGTATTAAACGCTTACACATCGTTATAAAACCATTAAATAAAAAAAAAACACAATAAATTCTTTATTATGTTGAAGTGTAACTCTATTAATGTTCATTCAAACACTCCACAGCTTGCAACTGGCTGGCCGTTATATAGGTGATTTTGGAAATTTTTTTAGCGGTTTCGCTAAAAGCCCACGCGTGCTTCGATCGTCCCCTGAATATTGAATGAGTGCAATTTATATTTCAAAACTGTGAAATACAACATTCTGTCTGAGGTCTGTATGATAAAAACACCGCCTCATAGTACTGCAGCTTCATCTCAGACTGTCAGATGTGATGTATAAAAAGTATAAAAGGTTGGTTTATACGCCCCCAGATTTGTTAGCAAGATTTTGTAAAGCAAACTTGTCAAACGGGAAAAAATTCTGCCGGATTTGCTTTCCAAGTATTTGTTTTCCAGGCCTAATCTACTGTGATCAAGAGTCATTATGGACGTTAAATGTGATCGAAGATGATTGCTATTTTTGGGGTGTACATATAAAGGCCACGCGCCAACTCGATGTAAGGTTTGGTGCACTCTTGGACTGTTTGCAAATTATTTTTCTCTCAAATCACTTAGCCTTAATCCCTCAAAACAAAAGTCACATGAATGTGCTCTAAAGTGAAATGATTTGTGGAATACAAGTTTATTGTTTGAGTGAAATTACAAATTTATTAATGGTAGCTTCGCTTTTAGCCTTGGCTAAATCTATATATTATTCACCGCCTAGCGCGATTAATGTAACGTCATAATCCGAGATAGCTAACCGATCAGATTGCATGAATTACCAAGATCACTGAGTGTGTATATACTAAAACAGATTAAAACTGTCCAAAGTAATTCTTATTTACAAGTTACATAACATTACATGTAAATTATACGCACCGCTAGTTACAATCTTTCCAAAATGCAAGCAACGATTTTGTGGCGGATCCAAGTCTATTCGATGATAGTTGAATGTATAACCTAAATAAATGAAGTCAAAAACAGCAATTATAATAATGAACCATGAGCACCAAGCGTCTCACAACTAGTACAACTGACAAACTGATATTTGGCCTTAAAGAGACAGTGTCCCGATTATGCGCACGCGCGAGCGTCATCTGTTTTTTCTTCAAAAGACAATAGAACTGTCATATTGACTCAACAAGATTTCCTTCCGGACCGCACCGCCGACGGAGATTTGTTGTTTTAATATATTCTCAAGCAATATTTTAGACTTTCGAAGAAATCTTTCTTGTTATTCAAAATTTGGCTCGCTGCACGAAGACTCATCGCGATTTTATCGTTAGCAGGGCCGCCTCGCGATCCGAAAATCTCTTTCCGCTCGCTTTAAAAACAGATTTTCTAATGTGAAACACGTGTCAGAGGTCAGTTGTTCCAAGTCCAGTAATGTCTGCCTGATTTGCTCGCGTTCTAGCCTCAAACGTCGGAAAGACAAAAATAAAAATGCAATCTCAACGCTATGAATCATCGTAAAGGTTAGTCAAAAATTATATTATGATTTCATGGAACTAGTTTTTCTGAACATGTAGCGCCTGGTTGTTTGATTTTGTCGACCGTAGGGAGATTCATTTAAAAGTTTACTAACGCGTCGTTGCAAAACATTCTGCTTCAAGAAGCTCCCCTCCACAAGATCTCCTCAGTCACATCAATGTCTCATTGGTTTCTTTCTTACAGTCTTTATTGTTGCTGTTTCACTTCTCCGTATTCCTTTCACAATTATCTGAGCTTTAGTATGGAAGTAGCAGAAGAAATAAGCCTTCAATCGGGATCAAAGCGCTTCCCATCGTTTGGTCCTCCGGCCAAAGGCAAAAAAAGTAACGCCAGAAAATCCAGATTTGGCCCAAATCAGGAACAATATATCATTGATCTGTAATCCTGAGAAGTTTTAGTGTATTATTGAACTTGGCCAAGCGCGATGCAAACGGATTTTTCAAGGTTCTCTTACTCTCCTCGCATCTTTTGATTTCGCGACATCCTGCCCAAAAATCAAAGTTTGGTGGACGCGCAGTAACGGGATAGGTCCGTGCACACTTCGGCCAATCTAATTTTTCATTTTTCCAACAAAAACAGAAAAAGGAAATGTCACTTACCCTTATCATATTTACATATTTTAAAGCACAGACAAAAATAGAAAAAAAAGAAAATGGTCAGGAAAATTGATCATTTTTTCATTTTTCTAATTTTGAAGTCCGCGTCAGAAATACAAAAAATACTGTAAACAACTAAAAGCGATATTTTGCTATTTTTTAATTTTTGCTATCGTTAGAAAAAGAGAAAAATGAAATGAAATAATCTTCGAGTCCTAGATCATTTTTCTATTTTTCCGTTTTTCCCAAAAAATAGAACATACAGAAAAATGAAAAAAATGATATTTATTCGCACCATTTTTTCCATTTTGTTCAAAAAATGAAAAAGTAGAAAAATGGCGTACCTATCACCTAATTTTCCATAATTCCATTTTAATAAGAAAAATGAAAAAAATGACAAGTGTTCCGAATAATTTTTCCATTTTTTCACTAAACAGAAAACAAACAAACAAAAACGGACAATTTTTCGTCTTCTGTTTAATGAAAAATAGCAAAGAAAAATGACAAATCATGAACATTTACCAATAAATAAAAGATAAACCTAATCCACTTTCGACTCACTAATTTTCTTAGATGATTTACACAGGGTCGGCGGAGACGTGGGATGGGAAGGGCTGGTGGGGGCGCTTTAGTTCTGGAATGCGAACGTAGTTTCATTCACTTTTGGATTTGATTAGCTGATTCCTTTACCTCATTACTTAGGAATCACTCTGTGACCTGTTCTAACACTGCGTCACCATAAAGTGTTCCTGTTACATTCAGACTGTGGAACGTTTCCCCGTACTTGTCGCATGGGTTTCACGACATTAGCAAATTTTGCTCTCGTCTTTCCAGGGCTGAGTTGCTTAAAAGGTGGATAACGCTATCCGCTCATATTCCGCTGGATAAATAACTATCCAGTGGACAACGCAATTGGTTTCCCTAAAATATATAAAAAATTATCAAGCTCCTGGATATTGCCTATCCGGTGAACCGTCGCTATCCAACGTTTAAAAAAATGTACGGGGCCAGAGCGTTAAGATGTTCTCTCCCGCGAGTGTATACTAGGCGCCTCGTGATGTTTCTTCTTCATAATATTAATTCAATATATATATTTACTCTTGCAATCCTAAAACACCCGTTTTGCGGCAAGATCCGTTGTTTCGGCACGCTAAGCAGTCTACTTTTAAGCATCTGTTTCATTTAAAAGGGTCTGACGTCTTTACTGGCGTGCTCTTTATTTATTTTGTGCATGTGTCTGTTCAACAACCTTCTTCTTAGCTCCTTACCCTTAATCACTCTCACGAAACGCTTTTTTTGTGCTGGGACCATAGTGTTGCTGGCATGAAAACCGTTGAGTTAAACCCCTCCTTTCCCGTACCAATTTTCACGCCTTCTCCGCCTCCCTCGTACCCTTTCTAATATTCTTCATTTCCACGGCCGGTGCGGTACGGTTTTCCCGCGCCGCTTTCATCCACAGTCGACTAACGAAAACTCTGAACCTTCAGGGAAGCGAGAAAAGTTAATCAACTTCAAAAGCGAATGGAAATACGTCCGCATCTCGAAAACTAAAGCCCCTCCCCCCCTAAATCCCCCTTCATCTCCACCGACCCTGTGTAAATCTTCTAACCAAATTGGTCAGTGGAAAGTGGATACGAATTAGGTTTTTCTTCTCTTCACTGTTAAATATTCTCACTTTTCTGCGCCATTTTTCAACAAAATAAAAATGAAAAACTGTCTGAGAGGGTGTATCGTTTTAAAGTTTTTCTATTTATTACAAAAAAAGGAAAAATAGAAAATTGCACGCCACACTTGTCATTATGGAAAATTGGGCGATAGGTATGCTATTTTTCTATTCTTCATTTTTTTAACACAATGGAAAAAATGAAAAAATGGTGCGAATAAATATAATTTTTTTTTCATTTTTCCGTTTTTCTATTTTTTGCGAAAAACGAAAAAAGAGAAAAAAGTGTTAGGAATTGGAGATTATTTCATTTTTCTCATTTTCTAACAATAGCACAACATAAAAAATAGCAAAATATCGCTTTTAGCCGTTTACAGTATTTTTTGTATTTTTGAATTTAACTTCAAAATTAGCCAAAACGAAAAAATGATCAATTTTCCTGACCATTTTCTTTTCTCCTATTTTTTTTCCCGTACTTTAAAATATGTAAATATGGTAAGGATCAGTAACATCTCCTTTTTCCGTTTTTGTTAGAAAAATGAAAAAATAGATTGGCCGAAGTGTTCACGGAGCGGGATACTCTTCCTTTAAGACCTGGACTATCATCATGAGACAAGAAGGGAATTGCAAAACGATGACGAGCTAACCTTGTCAAATTGAAACCAGCCTTACCTTCGGGAATTTGTAGAGCGTTTAACACCTCGTTTTCATGGGCAACAGGTATAACCACACCAATGGAAAAATCCGTCTTTTCCACAGGAGACCAAAAATAAGATGAATTAAGCTGCTTTACTACCACTCCGTCTTTGATGTCACCGCCTCGAGGTAAATACCGTGTGGCGACGAAAGCTGTTGATCCAGATTCACCCCTGTTTGTTTAAAACAGAAGAGTCACCCAAGTCAACAAAGGGGTATAACAAATAAACAATCATCGACACCATTTCACCTTCATTCACATTACTAAAAGCATAAATGTCAGCCCACCCCACCCTAATCTCCAGGCAAGGCAGCAAAACGAGGACTAGAGGACCAGTTTAATGGCGCTAAAAGCAAAGAACGTCGTTTTCACACCTAGAATTTTATACAGATTTACCCACATTAGTACGTCCCTCAGGTCACGAAACGACATCCACGTCTTTCCCAGCTCACCTAGCATTCAGGCAACTGACACCAGCACACAAAAGAAAAGAACCATAAGAGCGACTAGCTATAACCAGAAACTCATAAGGGGTATTAGGTATTTTTTTAGGTATTTTTATTTATTTGCCACACAATTACATTACTTAAAGATGCCAAAAGGAAAAAAAAAAAATGTAGGAAGAGATGGCGAGGAGGCCTAAAAGAAACTATAGAGCTTATGTTAATTAGGCCTCCTCAATTACAATTTTTCGAAGATGGCATAAAAATTACGGCGACGGGTACAGTATAATATCAGGTGAAAAATTAAACTAATCAATATTACGGAAGTTTACATGTACAAATGTTGAATATTAAAAGGCTTTTTCCCAAGATTTTTGTTGAAGTATACTAATAATTATTACAAATAAATGCCTTAAGTGCTCTTTTAAAGGAGAAAGGTGAGGAAGCGTTGATGATGTTGGTGTTTAAGGTGTTGTAAAATTTAGGTCCTTGATAAAAAACTGAAAATTGCTTGGTTCGAGTACGACAGAAAGGCAGACGAAATTTACACGAGTTTCTTGTATTATACGAATGAATTTGACTTTGTAAGGTAAATTTACAATGAAATTTTAAAGGTAGAGTATTGTTTTGATAGGAGTACATGAATAAGCCTAGTTGTATTAAGTATATATCATGAAATTTTAAGACACCAAGATTTTGAAAGATTGGATCAGTATGTGCATCGAAAGTGGTTTTAGCTATAGTTCTGATCACTCGTTTCTGTAAAATCTCAAGACGAATAAGGTTAGTTCTGTAAGTAGAGGCCCAAACTAAGTTGCAGTAAAAAAGGTATGGATAGACTAGAGAAAAATATAGTGTTCGTAAGGTTTTCGTGGATAAATAGAAACTGGATTTACGAATAATTCCTGTGCATTTAGAAACTTTATTGGCGACATGTGAGATTTCAGATTTCCAATTTAAATTTTCGTCCATGATTACTCCCAGGAAAACTGTTTCTTTTACTTGATCAATTTTTTGACTATTAATTAAAAGTTGAATAGTTTGATTTGTACGCTTTTGGGATGGTTTAAATGCAATGAATTTGGTTTTTTTCAAGTTTAATGAAAGCCTGTTAGCTCTAAACCATATTGACAACTTATTTAGTTCAGCGTTCAGTATATTAGTCAGGCAGTCTTTATCCTTGTGAGACACAAATACGTTTGTATCATCGGCAAATAATATCAGTTCTAATATTGTTGACGTGTTGATTATATCGTTGATGTAGAGCCGAAAAAACAAAGGCCTTAGTACCTTGGGGAACGCCACACATGATGTTAGCACAAGACGAAACATAACCATTGTATTCTACAAATTGAAGTCTGTTGGAAAAATAGCTCTTAATCCATTTCAGAGCCAAGCCACGTATACCATAGTGTCCAAGTTTATCAAATAAGATGGAATGATTGACTGTCTCGAAAGCTTTCGAGAGATCTAAAAAAACACCAACCGCTAATTCACCACGATCAATAGCAGATGAAATTTTTCATGCAAATCAATCAAGGCAAGCGTCGTAGAGTGGTTTTTCCTGAAGCCGAACTGGTTATCACAGAGAATATGTAAATTCGTTAAATAATCATACAAACGATTATAGATGATTCTCTCTAGAAATTTTGAAAAGCTTGGTAGAACCGAGACAGGCCTATAGTTAGTGAATAGTGACTGGTCATCAGCTTTAAACAGAGGTACCACACGAGCTATTTTCATTTGATCTGGTACAACGCCATGAGCGATCGATAAATTCATAATGTGAGCCAGAGGTCCCGAAATGATTTGAATGGATTCCTTAATTATAGACATTGGAATATTATCATATCCAGCCGCTTTCCCGGAAGCAAAAGATTGAGCAATGGTAATAATTTCATCCTCTGTTGTTGGGCTAAAAAAGATTGATTCTCGAAATGATCCAGATAGAAAAACGTGTAACTCTCATATGTTTGCTTTGTCCGGTGCTCGTGATTATTCACTTTCGAAAGTACCATATTTGGAACAAGAAAAAAAGATAACTGACCAATCAAACTTCTTAAACAACGTTACGTAATTTTACTTCACGTTCCCGCGCCCGCTTAAAGAATGGCCGACAAAATGGGGAAAAACTTCCGAAAGCCAAGAAAGCTTTTAAAGGTTGAAAACAGGAATCTTACCGAAATACTGAGCAGGATATTATTAGCTTACCACCCCGGCTAAACGACTAATAATTATGAAACCCATTAACGTCCTCGCGACTTCTTGAAGTTGTCACTTCAATTAACGATGCCTCGTTGACCCTCTGCACCGTTAACTTTATACTGCAAATAGGCTTTTAATATTCTTATGTTAACACTCTGGAATAAACAGTAAAAATATATTTTCAAATAAAATTCATTAGCTGCGTATCGAAAAGTGTCCAAAACCTGAACCTGACATCTTCGCAAAAAGCGATGCGTGTAATGAATGTGAGAAGCATTAAGCTAAAATCCGTCTCAAATCGGGGCACATTTTGTAATTTCTCTTTATCGCCGAAGAGAAAAATTTTTAAAACGTCTATGAAACATTTAAAAATACATAAATTCCCTTTCAAAAACGTAATTGTCTTGGCCATAGAGTGCTAAGTGTACCTGAAAGTTCGGCAAAAACTTCGCTGCCTTGCATGGTTGCATTTCAAAACAGACCATGCGCTCCGCCGTGAAGAAAACAAGGTTGAATTCCTCGAAGGACGATTTCTTGATGAAAAGCTTCCCTTTCTCCACAAAAAGAAAGCTAAGAAATCTTTTGAACTTTCTCTTTCCATTTTTTGTCTTTTAACGGTGTATTTTTAACCTTGAAATGCAGAACTCTTCTCTTAAAACATCTGCATGGTGATCGCGCGGCAGCCATTTTGTTGAAAATGGATACCCCTCACTAAGGTTTCCATATATGGTAAAAGTGAATATTCACGAGCATTGAACGCGAGTTACACGTCTCAACCCCTTATGAGTTTCTGCTATAACCAATGCACGTGAATGCGTACCTTGTCATAGAAGCAAACACCTCAAGAAACTTTGAATCAGTTTCCAGAGTCCTAATGTCTATGAAAAAAGGGTCATCATACGCTTCAGAAGGTGCTGGAAGAAGAGGATGAATTAAGGTCCTTCCTGTTTTAGCGATCATAAAAGCGTAGGTTGTCTGGTCCTGATTGAAGAATGTGATGTCAGATAGAAGGTCCTCCAGGTTGATATCTGTCCCTGCTACGCCAATGAAGTTTCCTGTTTCATCGTAGCATGGAAGAGTGATCGACATCAAAAGACCTGACGAGAGAAAAACAAAATGTTCCTCTAGCTTTTTCATTCTTCGACCACACAATATTACCTGTCCCCCGTCACCAAGTATCTTATCGGTACAGTTAATTTCACAGGTACTTGACTTCGCGATTTTGGCGAGACTTTATATTTTGCTGGGTTTTATATCTTCGCGTTTTCTTGAATTGCGAAATATGAGAAAAGGACATCAAATTTCGCAATTCAAGTACCTTCATGCAACTTCCTGACGGTACACAATCTTTGGTTTTTTTGTTCATAAATTGTAACTGAATAAATTAGTGCAAAGTTTTCATTGGTCAATAAGAACAAAAATGACACCAATTGAAAGTTGTGCACCGGTCAAGTTCAAAAAAGCTAACAAAACAAGGCATATACCAAAGGACTCTGACAGGATTCATCACTATTTCACGTTGTGGACTATGTTTGCATTGAACTAGACTCGACCTGAAAACCGTTTTAGTGTTGGAACGTTACAAGAACCTTTTTAATGAGAACTACAAGGAAGCAATTAATTGCAATTTTGATGACTGTACGAACGATATTCTGAGGGATTTGTACGATCGAATAATCTAGCTCTGTTAATAGCTTAAAAGATAAATTTAATAGCTAGTCTATACTCCATACGTGAATTCTACCACCGTTGCTTTACACAAAAAAGATACAAAATGGAACTTATCAGTAAACTAAGTTATCAGTTTGTGTATTTGTCGATTACGAATTCTTTTGTTTTTGTTATTATATGTTAATCCTCTTGAAATTTTGTGATTTGGATCTTCTATATGGGTATAACACTGCGCGTGTTTAAATTCTGCGAGGATTTGATTCGCGGAACTTGAATTCCGCAATGACGTCATATGGTCCTCCGAAACATTCTTTTAACCTCGAAGAGGGCATCTTAGAAACGTTGCTACGGCAATTTTGTATTGTAATATGAGAAACTATGAATTAGATATAAAAGCTTACATTTTGAGTCAAACTAAGAAGTACATTTTAACCTATTAATATTAGCTTTTTAACGTTGTGGTGGTGGGGGGGAGGGGGAGAGGTGAGTTACCAGACAAACAATACCTGTTCCAAATGCATCAATATACGGCACAGACACTATTGGTTGATCCAGCCGCGCTCGAGGAAGAAAGTTATAGTACGATACCATCTTAGTTCGCAGCAAGTTAATATCTTCCGTGACTGCTGTGTACTGTCCATGCTAATAGGGAAAAGCGGAGAAAAAAGCTTTTAATAAGAGCCTGTTTACATGGAGGTGGAGGACCCCAGGTAGGTGAGGTAACATGTGGTGGGTCACCCCACCTATCATGCAAACGTGATCAAAATGAAATGAGAGATTACATGACAGGCGGGTTACCCACCTAAGCGGGTTATCTCACCTACCTGCCGCCCCTCACGTCCAAGTAAACAGGCCCTTATAGACTGAGAATCTTCCACACTACAACGGCAATTAATTAAGTATTAGGAAACTCTTTAAGGAAAGCTTAGGCTTAGGAAAGTATAGCTATATATTCAACTGAACCATCTTAAGACGCACGATCACGAACGTGACTAGTGCAAAAATAAACTATGCTTTTGAGCTCTTTACCGCCTTCAACCCCTGACGAGAAGCCTCTTACCTCCTAGATAAGACGCTAGGCTTATGACGGTTTCTGTCGCCCCGTGGCAGAAAGTGATTTTCCTTGAAAATTAGGATCCCTTATGCTCTAATTTCACAAAAGTATTTTCATTGCTGGTCATGAATGTTAATTTGCCACTTTAGAAATGGGAAGGAAACTTGAGCTAAAATGAGCCCTGCAATTGTTTCTGGGATCGTTAATAAGGACGCGATAAGCCAATACGCCACTTCCGAGTTCCAAAAATCCGCACTTTCAAAATAAGGCCAAGTGCACAACCTTTCTTGTGAAAATGAGTTTTATTTGCATGAGAATGAAAATAATTTCCATATCAAAGGCTGAGCACTTAACCTCGTTTTTCGGGGGAACTCGGAAATGGCCTATTTTTTCCCTGTTCCTGGTAGCAATCCCACAAATCTTTGCACAAGTAAATCGGTCTGGTTTTCTTCTCGTTTCTAACGTGGTGAATGTTGAGCATTTCTCAAAATCTCGTAGCCGCTGAAAACCAAAAAACGTCGTTATATTATACACACTGCGTCTGCGATTTGACAAAGAAGCTCAGTACCTTCCGTAAGCGAATTGCCTTTGCAAATCTGAAATGTAAATAACTTCTCTACATGTACTTTACCGTTATATCTCCGACGGACACATTTCGCGGATAGCCATACTTTGTTGTATTTTGAATGGCAATGTCTGTGAGGATTTCAGGGTTAGGCGTGTCAATTCCAAACGTGAAAATTATGACTGAGTTGTTCAGCTCCAAGTTTCTGTCTCTTATCGTTTTGAAGATCAACTCTCTTTTATCTGTTGGATCACCATCCGTGAGAAATAAAATAATTCTCCTCCTAGTTTTGTCAGTTTCACCAACAGCAGAAGCTTTCAACAGATCAAAGGCCTTTTGCAATCCAACTCGATAAACAGATGTACCTGTGAAGAGTCATAAATCAATAAATAGAAAAGGATGTATTTTATCGAAGTTGAGGTCTTAATAGGAATTAGAGTTAAAATTCAATCCCAGGAGGGATAAATAAGGTCCATAATGTAAGTGCGTGTCAGGCGTGTGAGTGGTGGGTGACGCGAGTATATCTATACCTTGAGAAAGAGCGTTGACGAACTATGTGCTAATGTAGCTGATGTAATCAGTTTGTAATTGTAATTAACTTCGTTTACAGTTTGGACTCGTGGAGTGTGTAACAATAAGACATTCCTGCTGAAGATTAACAAAACAGACTTCGTTACCGATTCATTTTAAAGACGAAAGTACTCAACATAGTAGATTCTTTCAAAGACGGGTTATGACTTTTTTCAGGCGAATGTAAATTATAAGTTCTTCCTTGATAGTTGCTCTTCGTCGAAACTCGTTGATCCCTTATTACCATTACATTTTTTATTATTATTATTTTCTTTAGTGGGGGCTTATGCGTGAAAGCCAAATAGCCATCATAAGCCTCACAAACATCAATTGCTTGTTCCATTGCCCTTTGCCCTTGCGTGCAAAAGTTCGAAAGAAAAATATTTCTAAGCGCAAAGGGAAAACCCCAAAAAGTCGAGTTACTAAGTGAACCAGTTTATTTCAAACTAGTTGTTAACAACATTGCATCAAGCTTTCGAGAAGGGACAGGTTAAATTACGCATCCTCTGGTTATAGACGCGCTCTTGCTCGCACGAAGCCGCGCAGCGGAGCACCATAAGCTAGAAAAAATGGTAACCTATCGAGGCGAGAAATTTTGGTAGTCACCTGACTGTCCGTACCTCCATCCACCACCTACACACTGAAAACATGGCTTCACACTTATTGACAAAGTATGTTACTTGAAGCAAAAGCTGTCAATGGCAGGTCTCTACACTAGAGCCTAAAGAAGCTAAGAAATATTTCGAGACATGCAAGTAAATTTTAAATACTTCAAGTAAAATTAAGTTTCACACATAACCGTTTCTTTTTTACTTCAGGTTAACTTAAGGCTATTTTTCCACGCAACATAATTAAGATTGACCGACATGCTTCGCCTTTTTCAAAGCTTAAGAAACCGCAAGTTCGCTAGGTCAGTTTTAAGGATGGTTTTCAGGTCACTTGAACTTTTCTTGAATCGTTTCAACTTTCCAGTTTTGATGAGATGCAAAGTAAAAGAACGTGAGATTTTACTAACGCCTTCACACTCGTATCTTTGGTTAAGTAAAACTTAGAAGCTCATACGTCTTACATGACAGCCTAGTGTAAGGGACTGGTCAAAAAGTATAGGGGGGGGAGGTGGGCCGGAGCATTTGTAAATATGGTTGATAAAAAACACATGACCCACCCCCTCCCTTCGGCACAAAAATGACTGACCCACCCCTAAAGCAAGGTTGGAAATTGCATGACCCACCCCCTAGTTAAAACATGGATGTTCGGTTTCCTCTTAATAATCCAATAAAACCTTGTTCTGTGCTTTACAAAATTTGTTGATACACTGCTACAAGCAATATCAAAATCACAGAAATCATACCTTTCACTAAAAAGACAAATGTGAAAAACCGAATATTTCTTGTTTCAAGGGACGTTATGAGTCTTGACACAAATATACAGCAAAACGAGGGTATATTGAATTTATCTGTCACAAAGCATATGAAAATTTCAACAAAGACAACCCATTCCTACACATTACTTGCCGGAAATGCTTAGATTAATCCTCAACGAAAATTTCTTCCACTTCAGTGGAAAGCAATACCTACAAAACCATGGAACTGCAATGGGCACAAAGACAGCAGTTTGGATTCTTTTGCCAATATTTTCATGACATATGTTGAAACAACAACTCTAAGCAAAACTGTCTTTGGAACAACAGTTTGGAAATGCCACGTACACGATATCTTTGCCCTATGGGACATGAGTAAACCAGACATCGAAGCCTTCATTGAACAAGCAACCTTACATCACCTAACTATTGAATTCACGGCCGAAACATTTGACACTGAGACTGCGTTTTTAGACACTGTTGTATACAAAGGCACAAGATTCAAGGAAAAATCTATCCTTGATGCAAAGACACATTTTAAACAAACGGAAAGCTTCTTGCACACACATTTCACCTCGTGTCACCCTCCAAATGTTAAAAAAGAATTTGTCAAAGGAGAAGCCTTAAGAATCCTACGAAAAAACTCCTCAGAAACAACCTTTGAGGAAAATAATTCAAATTTAAAAAAAAACGCTTGACGGACGGAGGCTACCCACAATCTTTCAGGGGCACCCAACGTCAATTTTCAGAAAATATTTGTTCGAAAGACGATTTGAGATCTAGAATTTTCGGAACATTTGTTGTAAAATTTCTTGCTTGTCTGCCCCTCCTAGGATTTTCGAACATCTAAAAAAATGGTATAATTGCCCATTTTTAACGGATTTTTACCCTAAGGTCACCTAGAATTTTCGGGAGCCTTTTTTCTGGCTGAAATTTTCGAAAAGGTAAGTTTTGATCCCTATAATTTTTGTATCACTAGACTTTCAGCTAGGAGATCCGAACAGATGAAAAATTTTTAGGGGATAAAAATATGCCTATATCTACTCTTTAAATACTAAAATACGTTTAACAATGCTATGTTTAAGTGGTTTTGAACCATATTCTCGTTGGGTGCCCCCTATCTTTGATAGAAAACCTACTATCAGAAATAAAATTCACAAAAGGGAGTCTAAACTTGTAAAACAAAACGACAAGGAGGAAAAAGAAATATTGCCATTCGTGACACAATACCAGCCCTCAGTGTAGATACTATAAAGGAAGCTTGAATGAAAAAGTGGAATCTTATACAAAACCAACTATACCTTCAATAAATTTTAAAAGAACCCCCAATCATTTCCTTACAAAAAAGGAAAATTGTTAACAGAACATGCTCGTTAGAGCCAAAAAAAAAAAAAGGTTGACAGAGGGTTCCACGCCCGTTAGATGTGCGGCCTGTCATATAACAAGTGTAGTCAACTTTCTCGTTAGTAGTTAGTAAAAAATAGGGTGACCCACCCCCTGAGGGTAGCTGAAAATTGCACGACCCACCCCTTGCACAAGGCTCAAAACCTCATGACCCACCCCCTCTCTGCTCCGGCCCACCCCCCCCCTATACTTTTTGACCAGTCCCTAAAGGCTACCAATTGAATCAAGTACTCACTTGAAACTAACTTAACTTCTAGTGTGAAGCCAAGTAATCTCTCCGTTCATTAGAATCTTGGAACCGCTGCACGTCTTGCACATCGTGCACATGGCTTCCATTTCTTATTGGTCAAGTGTTTCTCAAGTGTGGTGAATACCAGACTTTAGGGAGAACTTCGGCTTCTTTGAACGACGAAAGTTTCCATGGTCACCAAGTAAAGTGGGTACATTTTACCCCTTCACACTCAAAGTAGGTTCCAAATACACTTAAACTATACTTGAAGCTCTAGTGTGAAGCCAACAAGTAAAACGGTTAACAAAAAACGCGCAACATGTCTGCAACACTGCCGCAAAACGATTTGAATCTTGCGATGTTGTGTGTTTTACCACCGACGTTCGAATAAGGTTGCAAGATTTTTTTGTCGTGGGTGGCAAAACGCGCAACATCGTTATTCAACTCGTTTTGCAGCAATACCGTTTTTTGTAGCCCGTTTTAAGGTACCTTTAGATCTATTGATCTTTTTTTTTCGTTCTTGTTGCCATTGTCGTTTAGCATTACACATTTTTATGTTTTTGTTTGAGTAAACTATACTACAACTATATTAAGGAGAGCTGCGCTTTTAGCCCTGTCTAAATCTATATATCAAGAAATCGCACTGAATCTAAGACCCGGTCCACACGAATCCAGACATTTTTGAAACCGCATATTATGTTCCCCGAATTCGTGTGGACAGGATATGAAAACTGTACAATCACATTCCAGTGCGAGTTCCGTTACCATTTCGATCACATTCACGCAGGGTCCTAAACCACATGCACTATGGAGAGCGGTTTCAAAAAGATAAAAGATGCAGTCTCGGTGAGCGATTTCACAGATTTTGTGTGTGCGAAAGGTCTATTCGTATTTGAAAAAATTCGGTTAAAAATTTACCCAGATTTGTGTGGAGGTGGCCGAAGTTGAATAATTGGTCTCCTGTGGACTATTAACCACTATGATGGCTGAAATATTTTAACTAATCTTTATTATTTTGGCTCCGATCGCCGAACGAGCTCGTTAAAATACAGCATGACCAGTGAAAAAAATACCCTGTACTACAGACTTAACTCTTTAGCCAGTTAGCAAAATACTACTTTAACAATTCATATTTCTCGTAATTGTATTTGATAAAAATGCGAACTGGAGGAGAGTATCACCACAGTATGGGATGAGGCGGCGCTCATTCTCACCCCCCGTCGGGATTTTCGATGGCGCTTATTTTGCTCGCTTTGTCGCTTTCCTTCCAAGTTATGGGAAACCTCAACCTCGTCCCCAGGGCGCTTTTCCCGGGCTTTGAAGGTGGGGCGGGAAAAGGCCCTGTCATCGGCCGGTCACATGACCACCAAACACCCAGAATTTGTGGGTGTACTAAATTAGCATATGATCGCATACGATAAACAAAACACCCGAGATGGCGGGTAGACCAGAGTTCTTATCCGGGTCGGATTTTCCCTGAGGACCCTGAGTAACGGTAACTTTCCATCGCTTAATTTTAAACCACTTCAAGTAAAGTGTTTCGAATCTATCCTGAAAGGCCAGGTTGTTTTTGGAGTCTTACCAACTGGATTTGGAAAGTCGATGCTATTTCACGGCTGTACCGTTCTCGCCACGATAAAGAACAACTAAAGTTGCTCTTTTGGAAAAACAACTAAGCACAGAGCCAACCTGGGAAGGGAATACGCGCTCTAGTCAAAAGACTCATATTATCTTCAGAAAAAGACTATGCTGTCAGAGTCTACGGAGTCACAACGCAATTCTCCATAGTTGATGCAGCTTCAGTTTAAGCCTGAACTTTATTCTTATAATTCAGATAGTTTTGGAACTGTAAAAATCACTGTCCTTGATAATAATTTAACATCATGCAAACTAAACTAACGAGCTGAGCCCATCGTGATACAACATTGCAGAAAAACATTACATTCACGGACTAAAGAAAATCGCTTAGTTATTCAGATCCAACCTCGTCCCCAGGGTCTTCTCGCTTTCCAATATGGCGGCGGCAGGAGAGAAGACCCTGGCACACAGCGAACTAAAACGATCGCTGATTGGTGCATTCCATGGTGCGTTCATACGTGCGCTCTCATTGGTTTATTCCTTTCAAAACAAAGATGGTTAAGATTTGAGGGCTTCGTAGAGGCTGAGAAGTGCTTTCTTCAGTGTTTGAGACCTAAAAGGTGGACAGAATTCGGGTCTGATTGTTCGGAAAACTGTGACTGTACCGTTGGAAGGCAAAGATTCGAAGATAGTGATATCTGAAATGGTAATCGCTGGGAATATTATAAGGCGTAGAGGTATTTCTGTTGTTCGTTCTATTTGGTTTGTGTGTTCTAAATTACTAAAGATTTGTTTCTTTAATTCCCGATTTGTCAAAGAATACTTGCAAGGCTTCAGCTTATCAATAAATTTAGTTGTCCGTTTGCAAACTGCCTTTTGTTTTCTTTGAACAATAGCTGTATGCATAATATTATTAATGTATGGGGTTATACGGAAATCGTGCATAATCTGTGGTTTGTCTCAGCAGTTTTTTGCCGAGTGAAGCATTTTTTTTTCATTTGATCGTAACATGCATGGGCCTAACCTGGCCTTCTTTTAATTTTTTTCACTGTGATTTTGAAGGGGCATGAGGAGCGAGAGAGGCAGATGTCGAAACAAAACTAGAAATTGAAGCCAAACATATTGTCGCTATCCTTCGATATTTTTAATCCTGACTTTTCATTTATTCAGTTTTTAGTGTCACAATAATGATAATTTATTATTATTTGCTCATTTCATAGGCAGTAAAATACAGCTAAATACAGAGACATTGGGAAAATAAACTGTTTCCTTTTCTCAGAAATGAAAAACTTGCATATTTATAGTTAGTCTTTCTAGTTGCAAAAATAAAATAATGAAAGCACATGATGTCTTTTATTTTATCAAGTTGAAAATAATGATCAGCCCATGCAAGGAAATCGGACAGTCTTGGATTCTTAATTCTGCTCCATGGATACTGCATTTTGGATTCTTTGTCAGTGGAACTTGGATTCTGGATTCCAATTATAAGTGGGATCCAGAGTACTTGACCTTTATTTCAGATTCCAAGAGAAAAATTTCCCAGATTCCAGATTCCCTTAGATGGGGTGACAGTGATCCTAAGATAAATACGTTTTCTGTCAAACCAAAACCTGTTAATTGAGCTTCTAATTACTGTAGGCTAAGTGTGCATGTTGTTCTTGTCACCGTATGCTTGAAAAGGGGGTTTGTGGACCTGAAATAGTGGCTGGCATTGTAGTATTCCAAAACCAGCTGAGTATGATTATGAAGCAGCTATAATTCAGTTCTAAAATTTGGATTTAAAAAAATAAACTGCTTCAAAGGGTGCATATATCACTATCCACTGAATAAACAATGGCGGAAGGGGCCTGCAGCATATTGATCCCGGGATTTTTCATGTAGGGATGCCAAGGCTTTTGAAGTGTTTTGCACCAGAGTCCCCATTACCATAGTGAGCTTTTAGTTGCCTAGTCATGGCCAATGATTTTCGGGTCACGTGGCCCCAAGCAATATAGTGAAACAGTTTCCCTCCAGTTTGCCTAAGATAAGTCACAGAGATGAATTGACCAAGAAGACCTGGGAAAATGCCACACAGGGACAAGGCAAGGCTTTTAGCTTGTATAGGTGTTGGGCTGTGAGGATGCAGCTGTTAGATGTGCTGGCTCAAATACTTCCAAAGTCTACTTTAAGGTGTTGGTTAGTCTTAGTCATAGTGTCTGTATCATAATCATATCATCGGAAATAATCAGATTAACCCAACTATTAAACTGATAATAAATTATAGTAGATTATAGTTTTGTGACCCCTGTGTACCACTTTCAACACTGAAAATACTTTTGTAAGTGAATAAAACAAAAACCTACCTCGCAAGCAGAAGTTAAACCAACTAAACATCATATAAACTACACTAAGAGTCCATCAAAAAGACAACACAGGTGTATTAATGTCCTTATTTGTTAACAATGTTTTTGTGTATTTTCCACAACAATCAATTGAACGTTTGTATATTAAGCAGTACTCACTTTGCTTTAGGTTTCAGATCAATGATAGATTATGATAGATAATCAGCACACCACTACCAAGTTATGTCTCAATTAGACTACGAAAGGGCCCATCTGACACGCAAAGCGTGTTTGACTTGAAAGATTATTATCTCCAAATGAGACAGGAACTTTTACAGTGCACATGAGTCAGATAGGACTATCAAATTTTTGAACAACTGGAGTCTAGCCTTTAGTCAATTTGTAAATTGTCATGGCAAAGTGCAGCCCCAAGTGATATGTAAAATAAACCAAAGTCAGGGATTAAGAAAGTTTTTGCTCAAAAAATAAAAATCTTTTTCAAAGTGAAGAATACATTTTGGATTGCTAAATTACAACCAATGGAAACACTCTTCACTTTGCGGTAGCTATTAAAGCGGGGTTAATGCTTTTTTTTTTACATCTGAGAGGCAAAAAAAAAAACAATAACAACATATTAAATCCTCTATTAAGGCCCCACTCTCTCAAATAAGCCCTCCTTTTCAGTGGAAGAAAGTTTTAACAATAAGCCCCCCTCTCTTTTAACCCCCATCCCACCTCCCCTCCTTTTCTTATTCTTCACTAATAAATAAAAGACTGTATCAATCGATGACAACTGTAAAACTTTGTGTGGACCAGATGGTTTATTCAGCAACTGGAAGTTCGGATTTGTTTTTGATCATCGGCTGCTTGACCTCCAACCTTCTTGTACTTGGGCTTTTTCAGTTGGCATTTTTTTGTGTGGGGAACTAATATCAGCGTCTTTGCTAGATAAAATAAGGCCCCTATCTCTATTGCCCGGAAGTGTTGTGAACAGGGTTAGATATCAAAAGCCAATAAGAAAGTCTAAAAACTGTGAGGTAGATCAAGATTGACAATAATTTTATTACCTGCACCAGATCAAGTGACAAAATATCCAAACTGAAAAGGAACTGTTTCATTTTCAACCAAAGTTTCCTTAAATTGTCTTAACAAAATAGTGTTCTCTGGTTCTTGTTTTGAGAAAAAAAATTGTTTTTTTACATATCAGAGTTCAGTTAAAATGAGTGCAGATAGAAAAAGAATAGTCAAAAACCTCATGAAGATCTGTAACAAAACTGACGATAACTTATCAGCTTAAAGTGTCTGCGACTTAAGTTCATACTTAGTTGAATTTCGGAACGGAAGAGGTTTTAGAGCGTCATGGCCAAAAATTCCCTGGCTTCTGAGGTCTGTTCTCAAAATTCCTAAGATGAAATAAATTGCGCTCACGGTTAGAAAAAGCTCCCCCTTTCACGAAAAAAGAAAACTGAACCTCTGGCACTCAGGGTAGGCAAAAAAAGTAAACAGTGAAAAAAGGTCGGTATCGAGAAATTAAGTTGTAGACAGTTGTGCCGTGTACGCTACAGAACATTCAGGCTTAAAACAAATGAAGGTCATTGAACAGAAAATAAGATCGCTATATCATTCTACCGTATTCCTGTGGCTTGTAAGTGCATTCTTTCACATTTTCAGCTTCTTTTGAGTTTGCCTTTGCCGCCATTTTGTTTGTTTTTCACCAGTCTCAAGACCTCGTACCCAGATCCTCTCACTCTTTATCTTGGCCGCCATTTTGAATAAATTTCCACTCTCCGTGGACAAATCAGTCACGTGATTTCTGCTGTGTGCCAGGGTCTTCTCTCCTGCCGCCGCCATATTGGAAAGCGAGAAGACCCTGGGGACGAGGTTGATTCAGATCCAGAAGGCACTTTGGAGAAAATTGGAACCCTTATTCAGCAGTAATAAAAAGCTTTACGCCTCAAAAGAGGTCAAAGTAAACGCTCTTACATCAGAGGGTAAATCTTGCCGACCGAAACAAAAACCACAGTAAATCGATATGTGTGCCATGACCTCTCAGTTTGAAACAAGCTGCTAAAATCACATCTACTCAAAGAAAATGAACCTTCCAGAGTATAATCTACCTAGCACAGGAAAAAAACTTATTGGAAAGAGCGGCATTTTGGCATGAGCTAAAAGTTGTGAAGGCCTACCAGCCACATCGAAGCTTTCAGTTGGCATCTCCTTTAATACAAGTGGACGCTTTGATGGCTGATGCGAAGTCGGTGAAAGTTGAAAGCAGCGCTTTACAGAATCGAATATTCTGAGTTTATATAAGACGGCGTATTGTCTAGAGATTGAGCTCTCCGAATAGAGCCCCCGAATAAACTGATCCATTTTGTCTACGAATGTGACGCAACTCCTACATAGCACTGCTAACCTCGTATCGTCCTCAGTAATTTTTATACCACAGCTTTTATAAACTTTTGAACACAAATCTTTAGATGACCCGGCCTTGGTGAATATTCAAAGCATATAGCTACTTTCATGAGAACCGCCACATACCCTGCGAACTGGATTTCTTGCAGAAATCTTCGTTGGAGTGGTCATACTTTCCGCCATTTCGATTTCGGTATAATGCATAAATTATTTTCATATGGCCATTTCCTTACTGAATTACCTAAATCAATCAACCAATCAAAATAACGGATCGGCCAGCCGATGCAAGGGCCTTTTCCCGCCCCATCCCCAAAGCCAGGGAAAAGCGCCCCGAGGACGAGGTTGGAGAAAACTAGAGAGTGTGTGGACAGTCTCCATTTTATCCAAAGACACGACCGCTAAACTAACGACTACATTTCTTTCGTATGTACGGCAGACTACGTTCATGTCCAGACATGTCGCTTTCTGGTGCAGGTATGCTGATGATCATTATTACTATTAGGACTGCAACAGTTGGACATTGATGCCACGACTGTTCATATGACATTGTAAGAAACTACCATGGAAAGTCTGGTAAGTGGACACCCTCCGGACGCGAAAAAGGTGTACGTTACTGGAGCTTGGGCCCCGATTCTCGATATGCCCGGAAACTTTTCAGGCCCGGAGAGCTGGTTTATGTTTGCCGTGTTTGCATTCAAGCTTCAATAATTTGCAAAAGACACAATGAAGCTATCATTTAACCAAGCAAAATTGACGGGTTTATGAGCTAGGAACTGTACTTCTATTCAACATGTTTTGATTTGAAAATTTGCCTTCCGGCTTAAAAAACGTTTTCGGGCCTTTGGAGAAACAGGCCCCAGCCTTTTAAGAGAATCAAGGTTCCATAAGTGACCACTAAAGATGTAAGGGTTAAATGGCCGCTTACAAGAGCTTGTAACCTGCGTAGCAGTCGTGTCCGTTCCCTTTAGGTCTAGCGTTGTAAGGACGAAAGTCGCGCGAGGCATAAAGATGCAAAAAGTAAGTGCGGGGGGCAGGGGCTTGAAAGAAAAGGAAACGGTTTCCTTCCCTTCTCCACCCCTCCCCTCCCCTCCTCTCCCCTCCCACCTCCTACTTCAAGGAAGCGGAAACGACTGCTAGCAGGCTAGTGAGCTTGCTGGGGTATAACACGATACTGAAAATAAAAGCTAATGACTATTGCAGCAGACTTACGTTGAGCAATAAACCTGGGTCCATCAATGTATTTCTCTAGGCTTTTTTTATTCTCAGGAACTGCTAGAGCTAACCGCTCACTGAAACAAGACGTGACATCAGAACCACTATCTGTTGAGGCTTCTGTGTTGAAGGAAACCACATTAACCTTGAAGAAAAGAAACCAAAAACATACCATTTTATGATCAATGTATAAATGTATCATGGAAGCACCCGATGATTAATGACTGTTCAGTAAAGCTTATTTGATATTCAAAATTCGCTAGAAAATCAATAAAAAAATAAACTGGTCTGCGAAAACGCCGTTGCATGGGCAAAAAAGGAGTTGCACGTTCGTTTTTCAAACCAATGTAACTGTGCAGGAGCTGGAGCCTATAACCCGGCGAGAGCGAGCAACTCCCTTTTGCCCATGCAAATCTACAACAATTTGTCATGGTCTGTACTCTTATCGATCATACAAATAACGCTAAAATGTTCAAAACTCAACTGAAACCAAAGCCGCAGGTGAGGGGTTTCACTGCACTGCAGGGCTTTGAAAATTTTGACGTCAGTTGTATGGTCGATTTAACCATTATCCCACGAGTGCGCGTTGGAGTAGAGGGTAGGTAGCCGAAGAGGCGCGTAGCGCTGAGTTGGCCAAAATTTTCTCATATCCGACAAGCGTGAGTGGAATAACTGTTTTATTCAGTAAAATTTTATTTTATAACATAACAAAGGTAAAACGCGCGCTCTGATTGGTCAGTTAGCCACTACCATTTGCCCGTGGGTGCACGTCAAGAAACTGAGCTAGCGCGGTAAAGTTTAGGCAAATTCAACAAATCTCCTCTCCCGACGGTAAAATACACCGATGAAATGGACAGATGAAAAGTGGAAGTTGAAGAAAGTACTAATACAAAAGATCAAGCGACAAATTTGCCCTGGATGAATTAATCACTGTTTTCCTCGCGGCTAGAATGGGCTGAAGGATACTGATCGAGCGAGCGAAGATTTAAGGTACATTTTGTGTGTTTTTTATAGAAGAGAAAGTCTGTTTGAAATGTAAATTTATTAATTAGCCTTGTATTATTGACTTTTTGGTCAAGCTAAAGCTAAATTCAAGCAAATATTTTAGGAAACTCGCTCAAGTTCGACACAGCGTTGTTGTGAAGTTTTCATCGCATCGATTAAACATTTTAGTTGAGTGTAAACGGGCACATTACGCTGGAATAAACGAATTTCATTTGAGTACAGGAACATTTGGGTTTTCAAATAAATTTTTCAAAAAATAACTTCTGTGTGTATTATTGTTTTCCTCAATATTCATTCACAACAGTCGTTCAGAGAACGGTCGAAAAACAACAGCTTCAGCGCCGGCTGTGTCGGCGAATTTCAGTTGCAACTTTGACTTTTATAGCTGGATTTCCCCAGACAGATTTCAATACGAAGCTGCTTAATTTCTTTTTAAAATTAGTGTTACCTGTTATTCTAAAAGAATTACAGTCAAATTTTCTCATTTCTACTTTACGTTTATTTCAAAAATTGTCACATAAGCTTGATAATTATTTCATTTATTTAGTTTTAGCTTATTTTTTAGAGTCTTTTTAGCTGGTGTTTATAGTTGCAGCTATAGTTTTCCCTCAAAGTTTTAAACCCTAATATTAAGAGCAAGTAGACAGATGCCATTCAGAATAAGAACAAAAAACGTTTTGCAATTTACCTGAAGACGGAGAACGGTTGATTCAGAAAAACTCAAAGACAAGTTGTTGAAAAACATAGAACATGATTTGTTTATGCGCGGGCAGATGGCAGCATGCATGAACTCGTACCGATGACTCAACCGAAGGCAAATGGAAAATAATGTTTTTCTCTTTTGATTATGTTATAAAAGAAATGGTAAACGCTGCAGCTGTGCAACCATGGAGTTATGGATGCACTTGGGAGGTTTGCTAAGCACTCAAGAAGTCTTACGCTTCTTTCGTGCTTAGCAACCTCCCGCGTGCATCCATAACTCCATGGTTGCACGCTGCACGTTTACCATTTCTTAAATTTATTCAGTAGAATTCTTCCCGACTTTATTTGTAAAAACAACCGATTTTCAGTTTGTTTTTAATTTTGAGTAGACGAGTACAGTTACCATATTTAGGGAGCATGGTATAATTGCTCATATACCATGCTGGCTAGGCCAATCAGAGCTCTAGGATTGCTTTATCCATGGCCAGTGGTTCAGTTTTTAATAAAAGAGTTTAGACAGTGATGTGAATGTTGCGCGCGATGTGACTGGTCGTTACCCATGTTCTATTAGAGTACAGATACATGGATGACGTCACGGGAAACTTGTGCGTTGTTTTGCTCAACATGGTGCGCGGTTTTGAAAATGTTTGTGAGATTATTTCGGATTGAGCAAGTAAAAGCCTCGAAAAAAGTTTAGAATGAGTTATTTACAGAGGGGAAAAATGGAGAAACACAGGCGAAAAGAGTACTTGACAACTTGAGAATGCCTATATAATAAATTAACTGGCAGAAAACTTCACGAGAGCTGATCGTGTGTCATCGCTTCGAGAGACTCGCTGATATGTAAAATGTTTTCGCCATTATTCTGTTTTAAGCAAGTGAAGACGTTGAAAAACTTTTCGAGGAAACTTTTTAAAAGTAAGATAAATGAAAAAAGAAGAAACAGAGACGAAGAGTAGCGTTTGGGACAAAAAATGCCTAACGTAACACAAGTCTTAGAACAGTCAAGCGGTACGAGGCAGGTATGTTCTATCGGTCTTGTTACTTTTCTGGTCATTGTTTATAGCTATTTCGAGAAAGTTTGTCGGGAAAAGTGCACGCGACAATCCTGAAAGGCATTGTGGGTGGTTTTGAGTTCTCTTGGCACGAAAGGCCATGGCACGAAAGGCCATGGAAATGTGTGTGCGCGCGCTAAAGGAAAGCAACAAAAGTAGTTTTGACAACTACAGTCGTCAAGAACAGTGTATTGATCATGTCCCATATTACTTTTCGGGCTTGTTGCGGGCACAGTTTTTCCGACAACCTTTCTCGAAATAGCTGTAAAAAAAATAGATTTTATGTTGCCGTGGGTCTGTTCAGTAATAGATCAAGGAAGACGTCAAAATGTTATAAAAACATCAGTGACACAGTTGTCTGTAGCTCGTGTGCCACTTACTTTGTTTTTACCACATTTTTTTGTCCTCTGTGATCTATTACTGAACATGACGCACAGCAACATGGAATCTATTTGTTAACGAGACCATGGGAAATTGTTGTATATTTGTTTTTTACAGTACAATTAACAGTTTTTTAACGTCCAATTTCATTGAACTTCCTCGGAGAATCGCGCGCGCTAAAAATAAAAAAAACTTCAAAATAGGAGCACCACCACGTCATTTCCAGGGTCTGCACTTTTAACGAATACGTTATGGCTCTTGACCAATTAGCGCGAGAGAAATCGCTCAGTTTTGAGGACCCACCTGATCTTTTGGATTCAGTGATTGTAACACAGTCTTTGCCGCCTCTTTAGCAATAGTAAATTTTTTGCCAGTCATAGACGCACTGGAATCGATAACCAACACAACATCTTTAGCTTCAGGGGTGGCTGTTTCTACGTAAAATGGTCTGTATCGAGGGTCGTATAAGTCACAAGGTGCTAAATCGTCAAAAACTGGAAAACCCGTATAGACTCCTTCCACCGATGCAAAGTACTGCCACTTAATAAAAGGGTTTTTTATATGAATGTCTCTCATTTCTCTTGAGATTTCTTCTGCGTCTAAATGTCTAGGGTTCTGGGTTGCAGCACCGGAAATCTTCAAACAAATGTTATTAAGGTCGACTTTGGTGCGGAAAAGTTCATCGTATTCCAGGGTGGATTTGTCGATATGACAGCACTCTTTTGCCGTCGTGGGTTTTGGAGGCTTGGCGTATAAATCTTCAACAGTAGCTTTAAGTCTTTTTGTGACTGCAAATCTTGTTTGGAACTTGTTTCTGAGATTCACAGAAAGTTCTGCCGTGTTCCCTTCTAGTTTAAGCGTCTGATACTGAAGTTGATTAAAATACGTCTGTAGAAAATAAAATTAAAAAAACAGAATTTTCATTTGATAGTTTCAGTACATAGTCAACATATTTAGGCAACAATGTCAAGACTACACAAAAAAAGCTGTGTAGCACAATAGCATTCGCTTGACCGTTTAGAAATGGTCTTGTGAGAGTCGCCACCATGGAGGTCTTCCGCCCGTGCTTGGAAACTTTCGTCGCGCCTTTTCTCCCAGTCGGACTGACTGCCCTTGGGTCCCCGAGGGTGTGGTGTGTTATACACCTAGCAATAATCGAAACTAAACTAAGAGGGCTTAGAATAAAGTCAAGAACGATCGGCCAGACCGATAATTTCAAAAATGAAATAAGATGTTTTCGAGAGTTAAATTTTACATTTGATAGCGGTGTTAGCCTTTAATGTTACTTCGGCGGAGCGCGAAGTAAAGGATTCGTGCAGCTCAGGAATGTTTCAAAGTTGTCTCTGGAGGTACCAAAGTTGCTTCCGAATGTTCCGAAATTGAGGGATTAGCCGACTGCGCCACTGCGACGCAAGGTAATTTGAAATGTGAAAAAATACCCATAAGTTAAGCACGAGGTACGATTAAAGATTCGGCACCCAAGTCGGTTACTTTTCGGTTTGTTTTGGATATTTGACGCAGTGACACCGGAATGAGTCAGAGATATCGCGAGATCAATTCTATTTCTTTCGGCTACGACAAATATTTGAGGCGGAGCGCAAAGTAATGTCGTAAACTTGCATTTTGTTTCCGAAGTGAGGCCGGAAGTTATTCGAGATATCTCGAGATCTCGAGATCAGCTCGAGTTGTTTAGTTTATCTGAGGAAGAAAAAAATATTACTTTTTGCTCTCCCTTTGGTGGTTTGTACTTACTTATCTTTGCCCCCGTTAGATCGATCAGACATGGATTTTAAAGCGATTGAAAAATATCGGTATGGCCTCTGAAAAACACCGTAATAAAAGGAAAATATTGAGATAGTCAAAGACAATTATCCTCAAATAGACGAAATCAATTTTTGGAAAGTGAAGATTACACAAGTTAAATGGAGAAAAGTTTGGCTAAAGAAATGTATATAAAGTTTAAGAGTGAAGAGATTTCGACAACTGGAGAGGATTGCAGCAAGGGTAATTCGAAAGAGAAAGAGGTGCGATCGTTAGCGTTGCGTCTGGACGAAGAGATTCGGAAAGCGATATATAGATTGTTAACAAGGGGAAGCAAAACGCAATCAGGACCCTGTAACCGTTGTGAATAGGCATAATTATCATTGTTCTTCTTGTCGTTTTGTTTGTAGGAGTAGGTGTTTTTATACTTGTTTTTGTATTGCGTGTTATTGTTTTCCACGTAATAATTTATGTCGCGATCTTGTACATGAATTATCCTCGGTATGGAGCGGAGATTGTTCATTTTCAGCAAGTTTTGTAAGGGAGTTTATTGATGAGAGTTACGTTGCTGGAGAAGGTGTTGAGTTAACTATACATTAGGAAAGTGTTGTTGTCGAGGAAATAAAGGAAGCGGAACTCATGAGATCTAGTCGTGCGCAATTTATTTATGACAGACATAATAATCGAATTGGATCACAGCCACAGACTCATCCACCTAGCAGACGTCCGTTGAAGATAGCGAAGTTAAGACGTCTGTAACAGAAAAGGAGAAAAATAAGGGTATTTGCATGGAAGAGTATCGGGAAAAATATTATTTCCTACTATTCCTCCACATTCACAATTAATCCACAACCACGACGCCGAAGTTTACGCTCCATAGCGTCTTGTTTACCGTAGAATCGAATATCAACTTGACCTATCAGACTGTCATGCGATCGTGTTGCAGACCTGGTAGAAAATTATCCAATGCACTTGGAAAGCGAACCTCTCGGAGCGAGGCACGAAGTCCCGAGAAGAAAAAGTGTGATGATTTCCTAAAGAAAAGTGTGATGATTTCCTCCTTCACCATTAAGCTGTGGTCCACATTGAACGAGTCACGCTGTATTTAGTTTCATCCCTTGCAAGGCCATTCTTCGTCGGAAAATCTCTTCAGGCCATCAAAACGAAAGGAGTGCTTCAGGGTTCTGTAAGCCGAAATTTACAAAGAATTTGGATTGCCGTTAGTTCAAGATTCCATGCAGTAATGTATTCTATTTGCAGTATTCAGTATTCTATTTTCTGGCCTCCCCTTTCCCCCTTTCCTCCTTTCCTTCTTTCGCCCTGGCACCTACCCTAAGGGCTGCTATTTCTACTCTTCCCAATTTTTCTTCGTCACAAAATCAAAGATAGCGGCTACAACAGTACGAACATAAGCAAGCCTTCGTCCGCCCAAAATACGACTGCACTGAAGGCTATTCAAACGGGGTACATTTGCACATTAAAAATTCAAAGCTTTTCGATGTCAAAATGGCCTTCAGATCGTTCTTAACATGTTTCCACCTTTTAAGGCGGAATTCATTTCATGCCTTATCAGTTATTAGTATATTTGTTAAGTCAAATGACCTGTTTTGCTTAATTGACGGTTTCTGAAAACACATGGACACGATTAAAAGGCCGTATTCTAAAGCCGTTGCTAAAAGCCGGCATAGAAAAACGACAAAATAAGGCGAATACAGTTGACTAGTAGACGTTTTCCCAATTTTCAGTGAAACATTTATCTAATTAGTTGATCTTCGCTCATTTTTGCTGCAAACTTACTATAACCTGTTTCATCGCTCGCGGCTGTTTCTGATTCACCTGACCCTGTTCGTGTTATTTTACCATTTAAAGACCAGTCCTCGGCTGACATTGTTCGACGTCAGCTTCAGGATTTGAGTCACAAAATTCACACGACCGTGTCTCCAGTGTTTGCGAGAAGCTAAGCCACCTCTTGCAACCAGCAATGTCTTGTTTACAAATTTGAATGTGACCTGTGCCCCACTTACGCCAGCGAATTGACGAACTCAAAAGAGCAAGTTCATCCATCGGCCAGCACTTCCATGTTAAACATTCTTCAGCACCTAAAGATCTTAGTAATAATTTTAGCATTGTAAGGAACTGTAAAAGCAAATTTGATTGCCTGGTGTTCGATAAGTTTTTTATTAATGAACTGAGACAAAAGTTTTTAAACAGCACTTTTAATTAGATCCTATTGTTGTTCTTTTTTTGCATGCGTTATTTCATTCTTAAATCATTTTCACACATTTTTTATAGTTCTTAACATATTTTTACACCTTACACATATATATACTAATTCTTTTATCTTTTTTACTTACTTGAAAATCACCGAAGATCGGTCGAAACGTCGTTTTTAATCCGTGATTTTTACAGTCAACTTAATATAGTAGTATGATCTTAGGTCGCAATTTTGTCCTTTGCGAGAAGAATCAGCTCTCAGTTTTTAGCTTAATCAAGAGAAAATAAGCTAGCTGTTTGTCTTTTGGCTTACTCCAGCTGTGAACTTACTCCTCTAGAAGCTTTATGACGCGTTCATTCACCATATCGTTTTTAATATGACCATACATGGTCGCACATGGATGACGATGACCAGTGTCCCTTTGAGCGAACCACAAAAAAAAAAACAGGAAATAAGTATACACAATACTTCGAGTTATTTTTACTCATTAAAGGGACTGGTTCACGATAATGTGCATGTGTGAGTTCTGACAGTAGCGGATTGTTTTTAAACCAATCGGAAGCGAGTTAGATGCACGCAAGTAAATTTACAAAATTCAAATTCATTGTTCGCGACACGAGAGTATATCTCCATAATTCAAGTTCATTCTTTGCTACTCCTCAGATATATGTTGCAGCCGATAAGAATAAGATTTACAGCCCTGTCCTGCTTTGAAACAAACATTTACCAACGTGTATTTTTACAAGGCCGTACCCACGCTAACAAAGCAGTCACCGATCGGCAAACAAAATTTGTCAACTAGAATTTTATTACTGTTCTATCAGTTCGCCTTATATAAACCCAGAAATACCTACAAATAGCGCCTGACCGGTGACAAAAACACACAACGTATGAGTACAAAGATTATCGTTCGTTTTGAGCATAAATTTCAATTGCTTATCAGCAAATGAACAAATTCATTCGCTTTGCATCGGGTCAGTGTTCCGCAAAACAAATGTTATCGAGGAGAACACATAAATAAACTAGATTATAAACAGAATATTCAGGCAATAATTTATTTTAAAAACATCAATTCTTAAACATATACGATCGTAAAGCAAAGATACAAGGAACATTTAAAGTGTACCGGATCGGTAACAACAGGCAACAGGCCGCGCGATCTTCACAGGTCGGAGTCAAAAATCAAATCAAAGTTGAACGAACTCATGCCTTTAACCACTCTCCAAGTGTCGTGTATTCTTTTCGTAAGCCACACACTACTCCTAGAACCATACCAGATCGATCGGCTAAGCTTCTCTGTCTCCAAAGACTCTTGAGAACGTCCTGTTGCCAGACGGCCAAGATGCTCTTCTGAACATCCATGATCAAAACATCATTTTTTTTTTTGCGTCAGACAACACAACCACACGTCAATCACCACTACCGAAGTATAACTAGGCCAGCCAAAGCGACGGATGTCGGAATAAAACGAAGGATTTTCAATGATTGTACCAGAAATGGCGATTTCGAATTTAGTGTTGACCCGACAAAAATATTCTGAAGAGGCAAACGGCGCGTATGCGCATAACCGTGATCGCGTCCCTTTAAGGGTTTAGTCAGTCTAAATTTTATGTGAATTAAACTACAATCATTTTCGAATCCGATTATCACCACCGTTAACGAGCACCGTTAACGCTGTAATTCCAATACTTTTGCTCTGATTTCCTGCACATTTTAGTTCAGTTCTGACTGAATCACTTACTAATATCCTTCAATATATTAAAAAAAGGATACATATTAAATTTTAAGTTAGTAGATCCGACACTGATATCATGGTTTCCGTCAGGCATTAAAAAAATTAAAGATCACATAAATTCAGGAATTCCGCCAACAGATATTGGTCCTTACCAGCTAGAAGAAAGCCCAATACGTTTCTTTAGGTAGACCGTTGTGTGTATGAGATTACATATGACTACATAATGTAATATATTCGCCGACATCGTTTATCAGTGCTGTCGCCGTTTTCAGTAAGAAGGGACCTTAAAATCCAACAACAGCGACGACAACAAGTACGGTTCAAGAAATTAAAGCAGTAGGTAAAACAACAACTCAGCATGTACAGCACTCTTTTCTTTTACATTCCTGTCGGCCGTCACTGCACGGCTCAGACGTAAAAACGACTAATTTCACTTTTAATAGGGGAGTTAAAAGGCTACGAAGAAATTTCTTTTTGTGAACTTGGATACAGGATCCAGGAGATTTCGCCTGCACTTGACAAACGCATTATTAATAAGTAAGTTGAAACATTCGCGAGGGAGATTGAAAGAACGCGTATTCACTTTCCAAGCGACGTTTAGTCTGATGTTTAAGTCTCTATAAAGGTGGTGTGCCGTGTCGATTTGTTTTGTACACTAAAATCTAAAACCACAAAGCGGAATTAATCTCGAGCTTTCCTGTTTGCATGTCGCAAAATGGATGCCTAACGAACTTCCCACGCACAGTCTGCAGTTCACATTTGCACGAGTAATTAACTTTGTCAACTTATCGAACTGAGCTTAAAGTCATGGTGTGTAATACACCTGACAGAAGACCGATCATTGAATATTTCGGTTGTTAGTTAAAGATCAGTAAAAGCTGAAATTAGCAAACATGTAGCAGTCTTACTTGAAGGTCATCCACTCCAAGAGCATCATTAGCAAACGACTGCAACTCTCTCCCAATTAAGGTTGGATCTAACAAAATTCCACCGCTCTCCTGGGGCACAAAGATGGCACAGGCTACGAAAAAAAGAACGGCAGAAAGCTTTCGTATCTCAGCCGCCATTTCCTTTTGGCTTTATAAAACGGAAGATATGTCGATCATTCAACCATACACTTGTTTGCGTCATGTCATGGAGAATGAACATACGGAATGTCAGCTGACTGACTACTCAAAAGTAATCTTCATGCCGCGAATACATACTCAGTTGTCCAAGTAAGTGTCACCGGAGTTTCGAAAGGACAGTCATTTCACGAAAAAGATTGATTTCGACTTACCCGATTGGTGGAATAGCTGATTTCTTATACACCTTTGATAAGGCAAGAAAAACAATAACTGTAGAACAAAGATGCCATTCTGCTTTTCTTTCACCTCTATGCAAACGCTTGATAAATTTTATCAAATTGAAGTAGCCTGGCAGCCGAAGTATTTGATCCTGTATACTGCTCCCTGTCTGTCCTGCGGTTTGTTTTTGCCCTTGGCATTAGTAAGTAGTCGTCGTAAAGTGGTTATAAGGTTGTAGCTAGTTTGGAAGAATTTTGTCTTTAACGAGGAAATGAGTTGTTTTGGTTGTGAAAATAAAAATGGAGGACACTTCACTCGTTTCAAGAGTAAAAACTACAGCTGGAACTAGGCGTAATAATAGCAAAAAAAAACATAGCAAAAACAGCGAAAAGACAACTCGGAGGGCGACATCTGCTATTTGGAGAATATTTGAGGAGCTGGACAAACCTAGTGGTGCACTATCAAAGATTAACTTAACATCAATACAAGTAAGCATGTGTTAGTGATGTTTTTAAACTAACAATTATTTTGAATGAATAATAAAGCAATTAATGAATTCGCCTTTTGTAGGATATGGAGAATTAAGCAGATCTCGGAGGGGGTTATCCACCTTGGCCTTCGACTTCGGTGGATAACACCCTCCTCGATCTGCTTAATTGTTCATATCCTACTCAGCCTCATTCATTAATTGCTAAATATCGGTATGATGCGATGACTCTCGAAGCCAGGTCTCCGTTATGCCAATAAAAGAGAACCTCAACTCTCGATTCTTTAGCAAAGTAGTTACTGCGCTTTGCACCAACTTGGGAATTTTGATGTTCAAAAGGCAACTGACGATTGCGTTTTTCGCTGCCGTCAATCATCGTAGCGGACCTTTTAGGAAACAAAACTTTACTTTAACGGGTTCAAAAGGTAATGGTTTGTGATTTGTGATTGGTGGATTTCGATCTGTTTTGTGTGTCTCTGTGTTTCATGGTTCGTTGCTCCTGATCGTAAACGCAATTGTGAAGGCGGCTTATGAACTTTAGGTTCCGTTCGATTAGGGAATCCGGATTAAGATTTTGAAATCCGGATTTCGGATTTTGCAATCGAACGCGAAATCCGAAAACGGATTTGACCTCGTAGAAATCCGTCCTCAGGGTGGATTTCAATTGAGAAATCTAAATTCGGATTTCATGGATTTCCCTTTTACCATTCGATTGGAAAATCCGAAAAAGGATTTGCAAAATTATTCTCGTGAACAGTGGTCTTCCTTTTACTTATTATGCGTGCGCATGCAAGACCGCTGTTCCTAAGGACAGTTTTTCAAATCTTTTTTTCTGATTTCCCAATCGAACGGTTAAAAGGACAATACAAACCAAAAATTTAATGTCTCAGCGTTGAAATCCGTTTTCATATTTCGCGTTCGATTGTAAAACCGAAATCTGGATATTAAAATCTAAATCCAGTTTTCCCAATCGAACGCACCCTTAGAGTTCGCATGTTTGTGAAAAGCACAGTAAGCTATGCAATTACGATGAAAGCTATGAATATTAAAATATAGAGGCGATAAACAATTATCGACTTCTAATTTAATTAGTATTGTTCTAGCGCAACATGTCATTTAAGTTTTCTTCGATATAATATCGCAGTGCGTCAGCTAACTCCAATAAGCATCAGGATCATGTTTGCTACAAAGGCTAAATTTTTTATAGGTTTCAGATAATAAAAGATTAAACCTGATATATACTAGCTAACCTATCGGGATCGTAACGTGTGCTCATTCACTCTTTATAAGAAGAGATCCTATAAGAATATAGAGGTGAAATTTGCGAAATTTTAAGAATATGATAAGAATAAACCCAAGGCTGAGATTTTGAAAAGGTTATAATTTTGTATGTTGGAATTCTGTAAATACAATTTTATATTTTTAACAGTATAAAATTATCCCTTTATAAACGACAAAACTAGCCACCAAAAACTAGAAAACCTGTATCGATTTCAATTTATATCCCAGTACATTCTAAAACGGAAAGTTCACAAGCTATAATTTAAGAATAAGACAAGAATATTTTCCGGCTAACATCGTCAGTAAAATAAGAATATTCATCTGGGCCGGAAAAGCAAAATCAGAAAAGAAAACTGATGTCGGTTGCCAATGGATACGTATGCAGGGGCTAGTCCCCTGGGCCGGGTTGTTCAAAGCTGGGTTAAGATAACCCAGGGTTAGTGCGAAATTTGAATTCAGATTTGAAAGTTTAAAAAGCAAATTCAGTTTAATTCTTTTGTCTACAATTTGATGATTGGCTACTCTAAAGAGATTAGAGAAAATAGTCCGAGAAAATGTGTTTGATGATGAGAAAAAGAGGCCCAGGTTAAAATTTAACCCTGGGTTAGCGCTAATCGGCCTTCCGACAACTGGGCCCTGCTCATCGAGTATCTAGGACGTGCAAATTTTCATGAGACGAACCATGATCCGTCTGTGGGTCAGAAGTAGAACTTAGGACTAGTCGAACCAATCAACTGAATAAGATCAGTGATAAATTTTCTCTCCAACGAGACTAAATGTACATTATGATAAAATTTTCAGTTTATTGGCTTAGTTCGTACCATGCGATGATCGAGGTTTGGCCCGAAGACGATCTTCAGACGCCCTATCCGTCTGATGCAGACGGATAGCAACGTTTGTACGATCCAACTCATTCAGACGAACTTAACTAAGCCAGACGTCGATTTTTTTTTCTTTTTTTTTTTTATGACAACTACCTAAGTTTGGTTCGTCTCATGAAAAGTTCAACGTTTGACCTACGCCGAAGTGTGTAAAAATGGGGTCTCCAGCTATTTCACCATATCGATCAATGTAAGGGAGCTTAGGAGAAGAGTGTTTCGAGGGTCTTGGGGTCCAGAAAAGATGCGAGAACATCTATGGCATTGAATGGTAATGTTGTTCGACCAAAGTTTGACTCTTAATGAAAGAATGGTGAAGGGTTAACAATTCGTTTTATGATATTTTTAAAGCAACTTCTGTTAATAGCACCTGGGACTTCTCAACTCTATAAACAAGCCTACTTCAAAGCCAATCATATGAAGTTACTGGCCCAAAACCATTTGCTTGTTCTTTTGTTTCTGCGATTGTTTTTGTCTTTCACACTTTGAGTATGATTTCATGCCTACTGACTATGAAAGAAGTCAAAATATTTTAAAAGCTGTCTCTTTCAGCAACACATTGGCGATATATAGTACTTATTCGGCGCAAACAGCGATACGCTTGCAAAGTATGTGAGGGATTTGTAAGTCTTCACCTGACGGGCCACACTGATCAGTTGACCTGAAATGCCTTGTTTGAAGTCGTAAAATTTAGTTCAGCAACCACGCGCCATATGAAAGAAGTGCATTGCAGCTACCACTAAAATGGCCAAGCTAAGACCTTGACGCTAAAATTTGTTAATTGTCTAGAAAAAACAAATGTAGCTTCACGGAAATGGACCATCTACGGCTTTTGGCGAAACCTACAAGCAGGAATTAAGGCACATTAAGAACTAGGACCATACCTGGAACGGACACATTTCATGTACCCATCAGCGTCGGTGTCATCCTCGTTGTTTTCTGTTATAAAGTCCTCACTTGTTTCAGAAATGGGTGTCATATTGCTGTATAAAGGTTTTTCTTGGCCAGAAAAAGGAATCATGGAGGGGAAATCAGACCTGTTTTCTGACAAACTGCCATTTGAAGGTCGCCTCACTCTAGGAACAAGAGCTGGTGGATCATCTCTTCCTGAGCCAAAAACCAGTGGCCCTGTATTGGTGAAGCCCGTGACTTGCATTGGACTGTCTTCGGACAGACTTCGGAACCGACGTGTGTTTGGCGCGGTGGTATCACACTGGGATGGCCTTCTTGCGCTGGGAACAGGTGGTGGCTCGCTGGTGTCAGTTAAACTTCTCTCGAAACTTCTCCGTCGAGAAGGTATCACATCATACGGCCTTCTCGTAGTTGGTGCAGGTGGTGCTGACGAGGCACTCTGGGTGCTCATCTTTCGTTGTTTCCCTGGAGCAGCTGGTTCGCGAGGTTGATGGGATAATTGCTGGGTGGCGGGCATATCAACAGCATTCTGACGTTGCAACTGACTTTTGGCACTTTGGCCTCCTTGTGGAGTTTCTATATCCTCGTAAACTCGAAAAGCATGGTTAGAAGCAGACAAAGGCAGGACATCAGGGACATGATAAATTCTTGGGCTGGATTCAATTGGTTCCATGGATATACTGTTGTCTTTCTTCACGGGTGGATCCACAGAGTGCCTATAGCGTCTTGTAAGCTATTCAATTAATAAATAAAAGTGTCAAAGGAAAATTATCTGTAACTGTTCTCTAAAGGTACAAAACTATACCCTAAACCCCTGAAATTTTACGCACATTTGCGACCATCTCCAATTCACTCAGACTTTTAAAATTATCATTTTCAGAAAGAAAACAACTTAAGAGCGGCTCCGCGAAAATATCAACTAGACGAGGAAATAGTCAAAAAATGACCTGGCCTCAAACTCGGCCAGAATAAAGCTCTATGGGCCCTAGTTACAAAATCGTTGGTTTAAGTACGATCGAGTGAATAATATTTTTTTTAACGAATTTTTTTCTTCCCGAGGCCTAAAAGGGGCAAAAATCATGCGAAATTAGAGTCATATTCAGTAACTCGTAAATTTTAAAATAAAGTTGGCTACTAAAATATAATGACACTTCGTATTTTTACTGTCTTTCCTCTATATATAGTTTTAACTGATTAGTTCGCGATTTGGTCGACAAGAGATT